TATATGCTAACTAATTTAGATGTAAATTTTTAAAAATAAAAAATTAAATAAAAAAAAAGAATTTCAACCTCTTTCCATCTTCAATCCACTCTTTAGTTAGCTTTTTATTTCTCTGTAAAAACTTTATGTTTAGATTTTTACTTAAAAAAACTTACCAGGAAAAAAACAACTTCTTAATTTCTCACTATGTTTTGTTGCAGAAACATGTGGAATTCATTCAAAATACATGAGAGCTGTCTATCCAACCAAAACCTTCCCAAATCATTACACTATTGTCACGGTAAGTGTTTGGCCCAGTGGCAAGACTGACAGGCCATAGACAGGCAACTGACCACGACAGACATGCTTACACAGGAAGTGGCTGAGCCCCATGTCACACACACATTTCAGAAGCACATGTGGCTTCATTCAGGCTAGGAGGTAGCATCTCATTGTGAGGCCATCCAGTGCTCTGAGGTCTTACGTATGAATGAATGTCCCAGCAATAGGCTAATTCACCTGTGTGACAGGCCAGGATAGCTTCTTGGATGTGAGAAATACCATTCTCCTCTGATCTTTTGATTTGCCTCCACTTTTCTGAGTCTGCTGGGAATTGTAGGTTATGTATGAAGACAGCCACTTTGATGTAGGAAATGTCTTTTTTCCCTAATCTTTTCATTGTATTTAATTTGACGAAGACTTCTGTTTCATAAATAAATGCATGCTGGCTATAAGTCTTTAGATAAAGGAAATAAACCAAGTGAATTCTCCTTAATGTGTAATAAGACGTAAGTGAAATGATGAAAATGAACTCAAGGGCAAATTAAATTTTTAACATTTATAGATTTACAACACATCTTAAGGAGTCCTCTACCTCAGACTTTATTACCAAAGGATATTATGTCTTTACCACTTTGCATTTACTCTTTTATTACTATAGGGCAGTAACTATAACTTATTTAAATTTTAACTCTAAAGTAACAATGCCTAATGTATGCAATGTATATATATATTATGTGTGTAATATATATATAATATATATAACATGTAATATATATATATATATATATATATATATATATATATATTTGCAGATTTTACCTAAATATTTGAGTTGCCCAGCTCACATATTCCCCGTTGAGGTCTAAAAGGTGACACTCTGCCTTTCTTGTTTTAACTCTCATATAGTAAACAAACGTTTTCAGAGTGTACTGACTATATGTGTGTTAGATAAGCTTTACTCAGGCATGAGTTATAGTGAACCAACAATATATATTAAATGATAATTTTTAAACAGAAATAGACAAAAACAAGATTATGTATTGATCAGCAGATAAAAGTGTTGTGACTAGAGGCTTGCACCTTATTTTCCCTAGGAGCAATGGTTCAGTATTCACCAATTCAGTGTTTGTAGCAACTTTATAGAACATAATTACCATAGATAACAAGAATTGACTACTAATCATTAGGGAAATGCAAATAAAACCACAATAAGATATCACCTTACACCTATAAGGATGGATAGTATGAAAAAGACAACAAATAACAAGTATGGGCAAGGATGTGGAGAAAAAGGAACCTTCACGCACTGTTGGTGGGAATGTGAATTGGAACCTTCACGCACTGTTGGCGGGGATGTGAATTGGTACAACCACTGTGGCAAGCAATGTGGAGGTTCCTCAAACAATTAAAAATAAAATTCTATAAGATACAGTAATTCCACTATTGGGTATTTACCCAAAGAAAATGAAAAGACATATAAAAACGAGCATTATTTGCAATAGCCAAGATATAGAAGCAACCTAAGTGTCCATTGATAGATGAATGTATAAAGAAGATGAGTTATATATGGCATATTACCATCTGTAAAAATGAATGATATCTTGCAATGTGACAACATGGAGGGACCTAGAGGGTATTATGCTAAGTGAAATAAGTCAGACGGAGAAAGACAAATGCCCTATGATTTCACTTATATGTGGAATCTGAAAGCCAAAACAAATGAACAAACAAGCACAAAACAAAATAACAGAAACAAATCATAAGTACAGAGAACAAACTGGTAGCTGCCAGAGGGTAGGGAGTTGGGGAGAATCCGCAAAATATATGAAAGGTATTAAGAGGTATAAACTTCCAGTTATAAAATAAATAAGTCCCAGGGATGAAGAGTACAGCATAAGGAATATAGTCAATAATTATGTCATAATGTTGTAAGGTGACAGATGGTAACTACACTTACCATGGTGAGCATAGTGTAATGTGTAGAAGTGTCAAATCACTGTGTTGTACACCTGGAACTGCTGTAACACTGTATGTCAACTATACTTCAATAAAAAAAGAATTGACTATATGTGTGCATATATACATAAATATACACACATTATATATAACACATATGTATGTATATATGAATAAGGTGTTATACATAAGTGCTATTAATTTATTGTGTATGTGTATATGTATCCATATAGTGATGTTCTGAAATAAGGACCCTAAAATCTATCTAGAAATAGTTACAAATGCATGGGATATCATGGCATTCAATAAAATGTGTGGAATAATTGAATAAATATGTGTTATTGGATTGAAAAAAATGATTGGATTGATGGATAAGTGGAAGGGAAGATGGAGAGAAATTTGGCAGGCTCCCTTCTAAAGTGCTGGTAACACACTTTAACCCCTTTAGCCAAGATATTTGATACTTAAAAGCTTCTAAGTAGTGCATTTCTTGCTATTATTGCCAGTATAACCAGTGGCTGATCATTATTATAATATAAGAAACTTTAATTAACAGTTATTAATCACATAAGAGTTATATTAATGTCATTAGCACAAGCCATCTGCCTAATATCATTCATTTACTGCTCTAGACCATGGTGGAACCATGCCTATACCTACACTTACACCTACCTATACCTATACCTATACCTATCTACATACATACCTGTACCTATATCTGCACTTACACCTACCTATACCTACCTACATACATACCTGTGCCTATATCTGCACTTACACATACCAATACCTACAGTTGCACCTATACCTGCATATATACATATACACGTATATATATTTGGTATTTAGGTTCGGACCCAGGGGTTTTGTATTGAAAAGTATATGACGTCTTTCTAAGATATGAGTTATAGATCTTATGATATTTTAATTTAAATGTGATTGATATATGATTTTAAATCTTTTTTGAAATTATCATTTTAGGGATTATATCCAGAATCCCATGGCATCATTGATAATAATATGTATGATGTAAACCTCAACAAGAATTTTTCACTTTCATCAAAGGAGAAAAACAATCCAGCTTGGTGGCAAGGGCAACCAGTATGTAGCATCTACGTGTGGCATCGAAATAATCTCCATTTTTCAGTGTGATGGTGGATCACTTTCCTTTCTGCACTTTTACATGATCTTTCTAATTTCTAAGTGTGGGGAGTAATGGGAAGGTGTTTCACCATTTATAATTATAGTTTAAATCATGTAAGTATTCATGATTGTTCACTTAACTTGCCTTCTGTTGAAACTTGGATGTAGTATTCTAAACATAACAAGCTAGAGGTTTCTCAGAAGGGTTTTCTGTTAATTTCCTCCCCCCCCCCTTTCTGTTTTATACTTCTTTAAAAGCAAAAGAGGAACTATACAGTTTTACCAATTTGAAAAAAGAGTGATCTTTCTTACTACCTTACTATGTTCTTGACTTTTGGGGTGGATCCCTATGTAATTAAATTTTGTGAATGTTAATTAATATTGTTTAGTTGCTAAAAAATGGCACCATTTCTACAAGTTCTACCCAAACAGATTATTCTTTTGACTTCCACTTACCTTAAGTTTTCTCTTCTTATAGATCTGGCTGACAGCAACGTACCAAGGTTTAAAAGCTGGTAGCTTCTTTTGGCCTGGATCAGATGTCGCTATCAATGGCTCCTTTCCTTCTATATATATGAGTTATAACAGGTAGTCGTGAAGATATGATTGCTCCTAGGCAGGCATGATTACTAACCTTGGTAGTAATTCTATTTTTCCAGTTGTTTGGGTCAAAAATCTTTTTTTTTAATTTTTTTTATTGTTTATTATTTTTGAGCGAGAGAAACAGAGACAGAGAGACAGAGAGCAAGCAGGGAAGGGGCAGAGAGGAGAGCGAGACACAGAATCTGAAGCAGGCTCCAGGCTCTGAGCATTCAGAACAGAGCCTGATGGGGGGCTTAAACTCACAGACCGCGAGATCATGACCTGAGCGGTAGTCAGCGGCCCAACCGACTGAGACACCCGGGCGCCCCTGGGTCAAAAATCTTGAAGTTATCATTGATTCCTCTCTCTTACATCCCTCACCTGGTCTGTCAGTAAATGCTTGTGACTCTAATTCAAAATGTATGCCGTCTATGAACTTTTGTTATTTCCAGCATTACTGCTGTGGTTGGAGCAACCATCATCTTTTGCCTATATTATTTTGCCTATATTATTGCACTTTCCCCATCTCCCTGCTTCTATTCTTGTCTCCTACCATCTATTCTCTATCTACCAACCAGAATGTTAACTTCAAAAAACAAGTCCAATTACGACGTTCTTTTGCACTAAAAACTTTAATGGCTCCCTGTTTCACTCACAGTAAAAGCCTTCAGGGTCCTATTGGTATGACCCCAACCACCCCACTGTCTCAGACCTTGTCTCCCATTATTCCACCTGGTGCTGACCTCCTGGGTAGGCCTTAACACACCAGAATTGTCTGCTTAGGGCTTTTGTGTGGGCTGTTCCCTCTGCCTGAGATAACTCACTCCATGTATCTGCATAGCCTGCTCCGTCACCCTCTTCAGGCTGTTGCTCGAAAATTACTTTCTCAATATTGTCTTAGCCTGATTAAACTAAGATTTCAAATTCCAACCCATCCCCCACCCTGAATTCTCACCTTACTGTGCTCTGGTGTTTCTTTTATCCCTAGCATTTGTCACCTTGTGATGCACAATAGAATTTATTTATGTATCAGATCTATTGTTTATGGTTTGTCTTCACTAGAATGTCATCTCTAGGAAGGAAAGCATCTTTGGTTTTCCCACTGATAAATATTGTTTAAAATGAACAAATAGGTGCCCGATATACACAAATGTATAAATAAATGAAATAAAAATAAACTGAATGGATAGTAATTAATGGTCTTTATTTCAGTTGGGGGAAAATCGGAAGATGGAAGGATGAGAAAGAAAGAAAACAATATATATTTAATTTACACTGAGACAAACGTATCTCTATATAAGTATTGAAAACAGGAATCCCATTGAGTAATACTGAATCCCCTTCAGTATTCTGATCATGTATGAACATAAAATGGACATCTGAAAATATTAACTGTCTTTCTGAGTAGGAATATAGTAGAGTTATTTTTTTTTTTGAGTAATTTTTGAAAATTATTTTTTTCTCTCCTTTTCAGAAGTATCCCATATGAAGAGAGGGTCTTTACATTGTTGAAATGGCTGGACCTGCCCAAAGCTGAAAGGTATTATTTAGAATCAGAGAAGTGCTGGCACACTGGGATATCTGCGAGTATAAAATGCAATTATTTCTTTACTTTAAATGACCACTTCTGAAAGAAACTTGGCATTTTCTTTTTTAAGAAATTTTCAAGAATTATTCCTGAGAGCAGTTGAGTTTTTGCTCTTGAGAATGTGACTGGTACTATGGGGCAATAGAGATAGAGCCAGTACCAGGAGTAGAGGCAAGTAACACAGAACCTGATGTAGACTGGAGGCAGAATGGCAAAAGGGTCTGAAACTTTATTATGAGGATTGATTCATGGAGCTAGAGGTGCCAGAGCAAGGCCCTGTCAACAGTCCTGAGTCAGAGCATCCTGAAAGAGAGCAACATGTCAACAGTGCCTCAGAAACCAGCCATCTAAAGAAAGAATTCAAATGGCCGAACAAAGAGTGGGTGGAAAGTCAGAGACTGGGAACTATAGAAGGCTGAGGCACACCAAGAGAGGTCTTAGCAGAAAGAATAAGGGAGATTTTCATAAGTGAGTCAGACCAACGCTCATGCCCAGGAAGGTCTTACTTCCTGTTAGGAGTACCTCCCCTCTGGGCCAAGTGGAACGACTGGGCCTGGATGAAGACAAGGAGGCCAGAGAAAAGGAAGGAAACTGCCACCAAGTTCTAAACCTATGCACTTGCCAAATCCAACCCGTAGGTTTATTCCAAGTTGATAATGTCTTTCTCTGCTTCAATTTTACCCCTAGACCTGCTTTTTATACCATCTATGTGGAAGAGCCTGATTCTGCAGGACATAAAAATGGGCCAGTCAGTGCCGGAGTAAGTTGGTTTTATTGAACAAATATAAAATCATCTAGCCCTAACCCACAAAGTAAAATATTCTTTAATTCTCACTGAATACAAATGTATCTGATATGAACATGAAGACATTAAAATAGCGAACAGTCTAAAAGTATCTCTACCTTATTAAAAATTTTAAAAATTACCAAAAAAATTAAAAGTCTAAAAGATATACCTGGTTTATGACTACATCTTGATTCATTTGATAAACATTCATTGAAAACTTAGATGTAGCACTGTTATTTCATACAGTGGAACCATCAAGGCTAGATACTGCATGCCAATTCAACATGTTAATGTAGCTCATTCCAAATTAAGTCACTTGCAAGTCTGTTGTGAACTATCCAGCTGTCTATTCACACACTATGTTCCATTCATAAGATCCTTATAATTGGACTTTATATGCTGGTGCCCCCAGCAGAGTCCTTCCTCTCCTGGGCCTCCATTAAAATTGAAGTAGACTTTTAAATATTAGTTTTGCCATTATCTAAACCGTTATGTTACATTTTTACTACAGAAATAAAGACCTTAAATATTACTTAAAAAAAAAAAGTCATCTCCTTTATTGCTGTTATTATTGTTACACTGAATCCTGTATTGTCCTGGACATAATGTAAAGCTATGAAGGCCTCCATGAGTATGGAGGCATTTTCCTGCTTCATGGAAACTTATTTAACAGTTATCCTCCATTGGAAAACAAAGCATATTTCTTCTGGTACCCTGATTTTGTGGTTTATCAGAAATGCTCTTCTTTTTTCCCATTAAACCAAAATGATTCCTGATACAAGGCCTTGCTCAAGTCCTACCATTTTTAACCCATTAGTTCTCCATATTCCAACACCACTTTGGTGATATTCCAGAATTTAACATTTAATCAGGCTATTTTAAGGGTGAGTGGCATAGTAACTATCTGAAGTACATTCACCACTTCTTTTCTGTTTTAATTCTTATCCACACTTGATATGGTTAATTGTTTTGAGAGGGGACACTATAATCTGTATTTGTCTGACCCATACAGCTGAGTTAATATTAGGCACCATATCTTTTTTTCTAATCAATGCTCTAGTTTAGCTCCCAAATAAATTTTAAGTGTAATGTTGAAAAGTGCCGCAAAGGAAAAGATCAAGGTGCCCTGAGGGGTGATTGAGGAGGCCCTAACTAGTCTGAGGAGAGGCAGGGACTGTGACTGGTTAGAAAGTTCTCTGAATAAGAAAAAGGAAAAAAGTTCACAAACAGCCTGGTTGAGGGAGGAGGTGAGCATGGTAGAGGAATGCACAGAATGAACAAAGGGACAGACAGGCAAAGGGACAAATAGACATGGTAATAATGGTAAGAATGGTAATGGCAGTTAACTCTTCTTGTGTGCTCCTCTGTGCCAAGTATTGTTTGGAACGCTATGAGGATTATCTCCCTCCCATGTCTGGAGCACTGTGACCCAGGGGCAATGGCTAGAAAGAAGCCTAGAGAAGGAGGCAGGCACCAAATCATGCAGATCCTTGTTGGCCATGTAATGTGCAAGGGAAGCACTGAGGCATTTTAATCAAGAAAGCAACATGACCAGATCGGGTTGTATCTAAAGATCAGTTTTACTATGCAAGAGGAATGGGTTAGAGGGAACAGAGGAAGGTGGGGAGAGATGGGTTAGCTTTGCAACATTCCTGAAAAGAGATAATTGCACCTTGAACTAGGGTAGTGGCAACCATCATGGGAGGAGGGAGTTGCATTTGAGATTCATTTGGGAGATAGACCTGGCACGGCTTGGTAGGATTCGGGTGGTGGAGTGGAGGATCAAGGACAGTTGTCAGATTGCTATCGTTAGCTGGCAGGTGTTTCCATTTACATCAATGAGGCGACTAAAGGGGGTCAATTTTGAAGGAGAAGATCTTGTCATGGTTAAGGGGCTTGTGGTGTCCAAATGAAGATGCCCAGAGGGCAATTGAATATGGATTGAAAGCTCCAAGGGGATGAAATCAGGAAGCTTGGCAGCATGTGGATGGTGCATGGAAGTGAAGATGTCCTAAGGAGAGAGTGAAAAGTGAAAATAGAAGGATTAAGACCATGCCTCATTTAAAACTTTAGAAGAGGCAAAATGGATGGAGAACCTGGAAAGCTTTATGGCTTTATTGCTGTTATTATTGTTAGTCATATACTTTAGTTTGGAGTGAATGTGACATAATTTGAAAGCAAAAGGCTACTTTAGTTAGTTTGTTCACTCACTCTTTTTCAAGCTTATTAACTTCTACATTTTTCAGTCATTGATACTCTCTTGCTCTTGCTCTGCTATCCTTTTAAGGTCTACTTTTAATAGTTTCTGGTGGGTGTGATGTTGTGCTAGGCATTCTTAGGGGTTGAAGAAAATGAAGCCATTACCCAGAAACTATGTTGAAAAGGCAAATAAGTAGTGACTTAATGTATAGCAAGGTTTTGTTTTAAGAAACCTTTAAAATTTTGGTAGCTGAAACAGTGTTTAGGGGTGCCTGGCTCAGTCGGTTGAGAATCTGACTCTTGACTTCAGCTCAGGTCATGATCTCATGGTCATGAGGTCAGGCCTTGTGTTGGGATCTGTGCTGGGTGTGGAGCCTGGTTAAGATTCTCTCTATCCCTCACCCTCCACCCCTCTCCAACTTGCATGCTAGCAGTCCTGTGCATGTGTGCTCTCTCTCAAAAAATGAATTAAAATAACAAGTGTTTATTTTTTTCTCACACCTACATTTTTTTTAAAATTTAGGGGTGCCTGAGTGGCTCCGTCCGTTAAGCCTCCGACTTCAGCTCAGGTCATGATCTCACAGTTTATGAGTTGGAGCCTCGCATGGGGCTCTGTGCTGACAGCAAGGAGCCTGGAGCCCACTTCCAGTTCTGTGTCTCTCCCTCTCTCTGCCCCTCCCCTGCTCACACTCTGTCTCTGTCTGTCTGTGTCTCTGTCTGTCTCTGTTTCTGTCTCTGTCTCTCTCTCTCTCAAAAATAAACAAACATTAAAAAAAATTAAAAATGCAAATCCAAGTTGGTTAGCATACAGTGTAGTCTTGGTTTCAGGAGTAGAACACAGTGATTCATCAGTTAGATGCAACACCCAGTGCTCATCCCAACAAGTACCCTCCTTAATGCCCATCACCCACTTGGCCCATCCCCTCACCCAATACCCCTCCAGCAATCCTCAGTTTGTTCTCTGTATTTAATAGTTTCTTATGGTTTGCCTCCCTCTCTGTTTTTGTTATTTTTCCTTCCCTTCCCCTATGTTCATTTGTTGTGTTTCTTAAATTCTACATGAGTGAAATCATATGATATTTGTCTTTCTCTGAGTGGCTTATTTTGCTTAGCATAATACACTCTAGTTCTATCCATGTTGTTGCAAATGGCAAGATTTCATTCTTTTTGATTGCCGAATAGTATTCCATCGTGTATACATACCACATCTTCTTTACCCATTTGTTAGTCAGTAGACATTTGGGCTCTTTCCATAACTTGACTATTGTTGATAATGCTGCTGTAAACATTGGGGTGCATGTGCCCCTTCAAATCAGCATTTTTGTACCCTTTGGATAAATACCTAGTAGTGCAATTGCTGGGTCATAGGGTAGCTCTATTTTTAATTTTTTGAGGAACCTCCAGACTGTTCCCCAGAGTGGCTGCACCAGTTTGCATTCCCACCAACAATGCAAAAGTGTTCCCCCTTTCTCTGCATCCTTGCCAACATCTGTTGTTTCCTGAGCTAAAAACAACAGTGTTAAAATGGGAAGAGTATTGTGGCCTGGTATAGCTGGAGAAGGCTTTATGAATTAGGGATGTAGAAGGTGGTGGAGAGATTTAAAGTCTTGTGAAACCAGGAACTTCTTCTTTTTTTTAAATGTTTATTTATTTTTGAGAGAGAGAGAGAGGGAGACAGAGAGAGAGAGACAGACAGAGTGTGAGCAAGGGAGAGGCAGAGAGAGAGGGAGACACAGAATCCGAAGCAGGATCCAGACTCTGAGCTGTCAGCACAGAACCTGACGTGGGGCTCGAACTCACTAACTGACCTGAGCTCAAGATCTTGACCTGAGCCAAAGTTGGACGCTTAACCAGCTGAGGCACCCCAGAAACTTCTTGATACCAAATTTGTTTCAATGATTCTCTAGTATTGAAGTTGAATTAGGCACAGAATGTCCTTATGGGTCTTGAATAACCTTAAGTAATGTTCTAATACTTTAACAAGTTTCACCTGTTAACTCCTGATTGAAAAACAAGTTATTACATGTTAGATGGAAAGAAAAGTTAGGAAGAAAAATTCAATTTGGAAAGAAAATTGAAATGAACAACAGATTGACTTAATTCTTGATAATGCTCATGTACATGGTAGAATGATTCTACAGCACTGAGGACCTCCACTTTTGAGAAAGTGTCATAGACTTTGGGTCTAAAGTTCTCTCTTGTCTAGTAAAAGAGCGGGATGCAGGATTGAAAGCGAGAGATGGCTAGTGTTCGGGAAAAGACAAGAGCCCAGAATAAGGGTCCTTGCCCTGTATTTATTCAGCTCATAAGTGAATCATACAAAAGTGATGGATGTATACAAAGAGACAAAGAAACTGGTAACATTAACTTGGGGCGTGAGGGAAAAGGGGATTTTTGAAGATATACAGTGTTTGGGGGGTTGGGTCAATATAAAACAAAATCTGGGCGCTGGGCAGTCGGGAGTAAGGTTGGTTACAGGGGACATGAGGCAGCACCTCTGTTTATCTTTGCCAGCCTAGGGGATGAGACAGATAGGGGAAATAACCTCAGGGTTAATAAGGCATCTTTTCTTTTGTTAACCATCTCCTCTCTGGGCTGCTTTGCCTGCAGCACAGGGGTCCAAAGTCCAGTTCGCCAATTTACCTAACCTGGCCCTATCCTCCTGTGAAAGCAGCTTTTCTGCATAGTACTTCGACCCTGAATATCTAATCTTGTTTATTTCATACACCTATGTATTGGGCACCTTTGTGCCATTTCTATTTCAGACCTTTGCCTCTCCCTCTCTATTTTGGGGGCTCTGCACCCCCTCTCTACTTTGGGGTGCCTTTGCACCCCCTATTCTTGGGGTGCCAATCTGGTTTACCCAAACTCGGGTGTGAGCATTTCATGACTTTGTATTTCTTTATGCCTTGTCAACCCATTGGTGTAAACCCGGGGGATTCCTAAGCTTATCCCCCACAAGAAAGCATGTGGAGGTAGAATACACAGGAAGGATGTTGTACCTATTGAAAAGCCCACTATGTTAATGCTGCATAGAGCTTCCTACTAGCAGGATCCTCTGCAGTCTTGAATTTCATTTTACAAAAGGGAATGTTTGGATCCAAAAAGCGACTGTTTATTAAGGGTCTTAGCATTGAACTCATTTTATCAGGATTGATTTTACTGTTTCCACAATATCCACTGTGAAAGTGAAGGATCATGATTCCATGTGAAACAAGCAAGGTTTTCTACCCAGACTTGGTTTACCCCAAAGCTGCAGACATTTCTATTCCTATTTATTATCTTACCACCCCCCAAAATGCTCACTTGCGGTCTGTCACAGGGATTTCTCTTCTTTCCTTTGTCTGGGCTAGAGTAAGGGGCTGGCATCTAGTCATTTTACATTCAGCAATATGTGCCATCTGTGGAGTGGATACTGTGTGAAAAACCCTATGCTTGGAAAGCGTGTGGTGAGTTAGGTTGCCCGGTTCCTTCCCTGCAGGAGCTCACACTCTTCTTGGGAGGCAGACATATGCACAGATGATTTCAAATCTGTGGAGAGTCCAATGGTAACAGATGCCAGGGTGCTGGGAGAGGACAGAGAAGGGGCTATTACTGCAGTTGGGAGGAGTGAGTAGGGTGACTGTGAAAAGGGACATAATTATGCCATGACAATGGGTGGGAACCATAACTCATGCTCGTAAACCAGAGTGCATGGTCACCGTAAGAATGAGAGTCAGGAAAGTTATCTCCGAGTTGATGGATTTTAGCAGTAGATAGAGCTGGTTTGAAGTCAATTCTGTTCTATCCCTTGTTAACTGTAGGACCATAAACATGTTATTTAAAATTTTTAAGCCTCAAGTTTCCTGGTATTTCCAACTGGAAATTCCAGATGGTGGAAGTAGCACCAACCATGCATGTTTGCCATGACAATTTCATGAGATAATGTACTAAAGCTCTTAACAATAATTAGCTTGTAAAATTCCTTCTCAAAAAATAAAAAAAGCGATAATTTTTATAATAGTACTATAAGAGATTACACATTTTCCCCCAATCCATTTGCTATTACAGTTTCCTCTTCACTGAAACAAATAATGAACAGTTAGTCAATTAAGTTATTCATTTAAGGGACACCTGGGTGGCTCAGTCAGTTAATCATCTGACTCTTGATCTCGGTTCAGGTCATGATCTCACAGTTTGTGGGATTGAGCCCCATATCAGGCTCCCTGCTTGGGATTCTTTCTCTCCCCCTCTCTCTGCCCCTTCCCTGCTCATTCTCTCTCCCTCTCTCTCTCTCAAAGTAAATAAACTTAAAAAAAAGTTACACACTTAAAATAGTTTAATGTACTATGCTGATAAGGTGTAGAAAAATTTTAAAACACAAAAAAATATAAGCAATACAATAAAAATGAACTCCAATTCACTATACAGAGACAACCATTGTTAATAGTCCCTTGATATATTTCTTTTTCGTTTTCTGTGCATGTGTGTTTACTAAGGAGTGCTAAATATATTTAAACATGAAAGGATTATGAAATATCTATGGGTACATACAGTTTAGTTTTAATATTTTATGTTTAGCATTGTATTTATGAGCAGTTCCCCATGCCATGGTTTTTTAAAATACATTTTGAAATGTTTGTAAGCATGTGTGGCATATTTATTTTTATATTGAAATTGAAATTTATTGAAATTTTATATTTTAAATTGAAATTAGAAATGAATGAATGAATGAATAATAAATAAATAAATAAATAAATAAATAAATAAAGTGATGAATAGTCCTAGTTGTAAATAGCCATTTGTACTATAAGTGTTTATGAGGACAAATTTCCAGAAATAGAATTGTTAGGTTATAGGGTAGTTCCTTTTTTTAACGCTCTGGTTAGGCATTGTCACATAATATCTCAGCACCCAAATAACCATGTGGACTTCTATAGAAGTGCCTGTGGACTCCCCTCTCCAGCATTGGGTATTATGATGAAAGCCTTTGCAGCTGAATATTTGTTGAGGCAGAACATTTTTCTCAGATACTAATTGGACAGTAGTCTATATTCCTTTGTGGAAACCATGGTTTACTTTTTTTTATTTGTTTATAGAAATTCAGGGAGGGGCGCCTGGGTGGCGCAGTCGGTTAAGCGTCCGACTTCAGCCAGGTCACGATCTCCGGTCCCCGAGTTCGAGCCCCGCGTCAGGCTCTGGGCTGATGGCTCAGAGCCTGGAGCCTGTTTCCCATTCTGTGTCTCCCTCTCTCTCTGCCCCTCCCCCGTTCATGCTCTGTCTCTCTCTGTCCCAAAAATAAATAAACGTTGAAAAAAAAAAATTAAAAAAAAAAGAAAAAAAAAAAAAGAAATTCAGGGAATTGGTATTTGGTAAATGTGGTAGCACAGTGCTGGGCTCTGATGTCCTATTTCAAAATCCAGAAATTTCAGAGAAGGAAATGTGTTCAGTTTTTACTCACTCCCTTGGATAATGATTTCATCAATTAAATTTTAATTTATGAAGACAGTCTTAACTCCATTTTATTTTCCCCTTAGGTAATTCAAGCCTTACAGTTGGTAGATAAGACTTTTGGAATGTTGATGGAAGGCCTAAGACAGCGGAACTTAGACAATTGTGTCAATATAATCCTTTTGGCCGACCATGGTACGCTTTTTTTAAAAATTATATTTTATCATTGATGATATCTTCTCACTTCAAGGAGCATGCAAAAAGCATAGTGATATTTTAAAGTCTATACTTCTAGACCTAAAGGTTCTCGAACAAGCAAAGAATATGTTTTATGGTAGGCTGTGATGAATACGATACTAAAACTAAAATTTCTACTTTAATTATTTTAACATTCATTATGAAAATCCATCCTTATACTTACTTTTTTGTGAAAATGGAGGTCATAGTACTTAACAGAGATATGGTTGGGTTGTTAGTCAACCAAATATTTTTTGAGTGCCTACTCAATGTCAAGTACTTTCCTAGATACGGTGTGTTTGGAGGTATGTAAAGCGGAAATAGGCCTTTTCTAGATGGGGTGATACTTTCTACATTAGTCAAGCTAAGCTCCAAAGGCTTTAAAGGAACCAGTCAAGGAAGAGAGGAGGAAAAGGACCATGTCTACAGAACTCTTGTTTTTATTTTAGGACATCAAGATAATGAGAAACAGAGTAATTTATTTAAAAATTTCTGAAATGTTTTCTTAACACATTGACCTATTGTTTTAAAATTAAAGGGAACCATTTTAATGTGCATTTTGATAAAAGATATTATAAAACATGAAATAAATTTATAAATAAATATGAAAATAAAAATTTAAGGGCAGTCTGAAGAATCTACAAATAGAAGAGGTTTTAACTACCAAATCTTTTTTTTAAGCACATGCTACTTATATAAAGTTAAATAATACATCTAAGATCTAATGAGCTTTCTACAGAGGATTTTCTTCTTTGAAATTAATTGATTTATGTTGAGCAAATGATCTGTTTATAATTCTTGTTTATTCTTCTCTTATCAATGCAACCCTTCTCCTCCACTGCCAGGATTTTTAAGATCTGCCATTTAGGGTGAAATAATAGGTTAAATTAATATAGATTCTCAGTGAAACTTACTTTGAGATCTGCCACATAAAATATCTCTGATTTGACATCATGAAAGACAACTAATTGTTACCATCTATATGCATTCAGTGGATTTTTTTTTTTAATTCAGGAATGGATAAGACTTACTGTGACAAGATGGAATATATGACTAATTATTTTCATCGAATAAACTTCTACATGTATGAAGGGCCTGCCCCTCGTATCAGGGCTCGTAATATACCCCAGGACTTTTACACTTGTAAGTATGAAGACACCCATGTGAAAAAAGGGGTAAAATTGAAAGTGTGTAAACATAACTTCCTGATTCTGAGGATATAGGGATTGCCAGGCTCCTCTTCTGTCTTCTTGGGAAGACCACACAGAAGCAAATAAGAAATCCCCGTCCTTGTTTAAATATCATCAGCCTATAAAGTCTATGGTAATATCAAATATCGTTAGGTAAAAGTATACTCTACTTAACTATATTAATACAATCAAACGTTACTATTAATAAAATATTGATATTTCCACGTAATTATTAGATTATAATTAAAACATCAATTAAACATTAATATTACAAAAATATTAATATATTCTACTTAATCGTTAGGTTAAAATATATTCTACTTATACGTTAAATTCTAAAATAATTCTTTGCTGAAAATAATTTCCTACTTAGGGACACCTGGGTGGCTCAGTCTGTTATGTGTCTGACTCTTGATCTTGGCTCAGGTCATGATCTCAGTTTGTGAGATGGAGCCTGGAGCTTGGGACTTTTCTCTCTCCTCTCTCTGCCTCTTCCTGGCTCATGCTCCCTTTCTCTCTCTCTCTCTCTATCTCTCTCAAAACAAATCAATAAATTTTAAAATAATTTCTTATTAATTTTACCAGGTCATTGTCATTAATAAATGTATGTGTGAAATTCATCTGATATGTTCACATTTGTAATGTGGTTTATTTATTTATTTTTTTCTTTTGAAACAGTTAATTCTGAAGAAATTGTTAGGAACCTCAGTGTAAGTATACAGTGTCCTAATACATATATCTAAGTTAATATAATGTCCTTAAAATCTGGATTTGAGGAAATTTATGTTCCATATTTCTGAGTCCAATCCACTTCAAATTTATTTCTTAAACCCTCCGTTGATAGTATTTTACCTGCAGATCAGCTGCTTTTGTCTTAGGTGTTTTCATTTACAGTCACTACCACTAGAGATTAGTTTGTGACAACAGTGGCCCTGACTCCTGGCTTTTACTGAGTGGGTTGCTGTCCCATTCAAAAGGGCCATGCCAGTCACATGTGTTGTGTGACTTAACATAAGAAAATAGTGAATCATGAACTCTTACACATCTTTTCATAGAGGTCAGAAAAATCATCTCTTTACCCTCTAATTCCAACTTCTTTTGACTGGTTCCCACGTTCCAGGTTGTGAGTAAACTTAGTGGGGCAAATTCGAGATACAGATCTTAAAGCAAACTGGGCTTTTCAAGGTAGAATTCCCTACTCCTAGAGAGACCTGAAATGTTCTTGCATGTAGTTTTAATACTTCTGTATTTAAGGTATATTCACAAGCATATTATCTATTATATGGAATTCATGAGTTTATCATTGCTTGGGGTGGAGCTAGGTTAATTTAAGTATATAGGTCGTGTGCAATTATAGAAGAAAACTGTTAGGATGAACTGGGAATGATTGAAGGTAAGAAAACACCGCATGAAGAATGTTACTGTCACCTAGGACCCACTGCAAGTCTGATGCAGAAATGACCATTAGAGCAGCAATTCTTTAGAGTGTTAATCACTTCTTTTTTCTCTTATACTTTGATATTTTGGTCTTGAGTAAACATGGTGGACAATGTCTCCCTCTGCTGGCGAAGGGCATACAGGCAGTGTGTTCATGCTGATTGAATGGGTACTTCAGAATTTTCAACAGATGGACTCTCTAAAACCACATATTGTTGTCCTTTTCCCCATCACCTCACGAGCCATATAGCAGAAGCCCTGTTGCTGAGGAAGGGAAAATCTCTAATAATCCTGTAGTGGAGGAGGATTGGATACCACGGGCTTTGGAAACCATTAATGGTATCGCAAATAAAGACTGGGCCTAGAGTTATAGAACCCGAAGAAATGGACCATCATTTCCTGAATAGTCCATTATTCCCAGGAAATTTTCATGTGGGGGTACAGTATTCCCAGTAGGCCTGTTGAGCTTATATTGGACAAACGTAATCAAACATGAACAGATGACTCTTTAAGTTCAACAACATTCTGGTTGCATGACAGACAATGGCATCCTTGTTCTTAGATAAAATGACCACAGTCTTCCCAACTCTAAGGTCTTCATCCTAAATTCTCAAATGCAAAGTATAACCCCGTCCTGCTTCGGAAATTGGCAGTGTGCCTCCACTTTCCTCTGGATTTACTCTGGCTACACACCAGCTAGGAAAGTGTGACTTGTCAGATGATCTGTGGTCCTCAAGGGCATATTCTAGTTCTTTGTATCTTTGACGAAGCTTCATAACCAACTGCTGCCATCATGTACTTGCCTGGATGTTACAAAAATATTGACTTCAACAGGAAGTAATGATAAATTAAAAAGAAAAAGAAGCCCGGTAGAGATACCAAAATAAGCAAAGAAAAACTGGCCAAAATATCTGTGCAATAAATAATTTCTCTTCCCCTTTTCATTCTGTTACTCGCCTTGCTCTATTGTCCATACTTCCTTTTAAATTGTTTTTTTTTTTTCGGGGCGCCTGGGTGGCGCAGTCGGTTGAGCGTCCGACTTCAGCCAGGTCACGATCTCGCGGTCCGTGAGTTCGAGCCCCGCGTCAGGCTCTGGGCTGATGGCTCAGAGCCTGGAGCCTGTTTCCGATTCTGTGTCTCCCTCTCTCTCTGCCCCTCCCCCGTTCATGCTCTGTCTCTCTCTGTCCGAAAAATAAATAAATGTTGAAAAAAAAAATAAATAAATTGTTTTTTTTTCAATTTCATAGTATCTTTCTTCTTATATAAATTGAGCCCAAAACAGCAGTGACACAGACTTAAAATATTTGTGTGATTATCAAGGCTTAAAATAAATAAGAAAATGAGAAAGTAGAAAAAAATTATTTTCCCATATGCTTACCTGTATTTTTTTCCTCTTGTTTCTCAAAAAAAGTTCACGAGGGAGAAAAAATTCCTTTGTAGTTCTGTTTCTCATTTCCTCACTTCTTTTTTTAGATGACTGAGTTGCATCTTTACACAGTTTTAAAATATGCCGTCTAGTTACAGCAGTAATTATGAAAGACACAAAATTTCACTCCAGTTTGTGAGAAATCCATGAATTGTTCACAAATAAGGAGCCTGTACTAGGTTTTGACTTGACTTGAGAATTAAGCAAATGTAGGTTATTTCAAGGGTAAATTGAATCGACTGTAAAAGGATTTTGGTGCAATTAAATTGGTTTTTAAAATTTTTACTGATATCTGCTAATGTGTTATATAATATGCATACATAATTTAAATTCAAAAATTGTAATTGCCACTTGAAATCCAGACATATCTATTGTCTGTCAAAAAAGGAGGGGAGGGTTATGGTGGCTAAAGATATAAAAACCTAAAACATCAGACACCAAATCATAATTTAAATCATATATTTTAATTGCAATTTAAGTATTGTTGCAACAATAAAAGCAACCTAAATGGGGAATTTGGCCACACTGAGAATAGGGTTAATAGCCTTATTTTATTAGCCATGTTTAAATCTTCTTACTTTTTAAAGAGCGCTTAATTGTCTTAGCAAATGAAATTGTTAAATTAGCCTGCATATTTTATAACTTACACAAACAAATAATCTACCTATTATTTAGTGCCGAAAACCTGATCAGCATTTCAAACCCTATTTGACTCCTGATTTGCCAAAACGACTACACTTTGCCAAAAATGTCAGAATTGACAAAGTTCATCTTTTGGTGGACCGACAGTGGCTGGCTGTGAGGTTTGTGCATCTATTTACTTGTTTCATAATACTTTTAACGACCGTCTTTCATTATAAATTGCCTTCATTTTACCGGTCTATTATGATCATGCAACTTTTCCTGAGCATTGGTATTTCCTTGACTTTTTTCAATATGTATTTTTTTAAGTTTATTTCTTTCTTTTTTTTTTCAAACGTTTATTTATTTCTGGGACAGAGAGAGACAGAGCATGAACGGGGGAGGGGCAGAGAGAGAGGGAGACACAGAATCAATCGGAAACAGGCTCCAGGCTCTGAGCCATCAGCCCAGAGCCTGACGCGGGGCTCGAACTCAGGGACCGCGAGATCGTGACCTGGCTGAAGTCGGACGCTTAACCGACTGCGCCACCCAGGCGCCCCTTAAGTTTATTTCTCTTGAGAGAGAGAGTGAGTGTTCGGTGCACTTGAGCAGGGGAGGGGCAGAGAGAAAGGGAGAGAGAGAATCCCAAGCAGGCTTCACACTGCCAGCGCAGAGCCCAACCTGGGGCTTGCTTGATCTTACGAACAGCGAGACCATGCCCTCAGCTGAAATCAAGACTCAGATGCTCAACCAACTGAGCCATCCAGGTGCCTCAATCCTTGACTTTCTATATGCTACCTAGCATTTCTGCATTTGAAATATTAGGGGCCAATCTTAGCATCGTAATCCTCACAATATAGATGCACAGAAGGAAGAAGGTTAGCACTGTTTATTGGCCATTCCAGAAACCACAAGTACCAGCACATTCTTAACCCCCAGTTAGATCTTTTTTCAGGTAGTTGACAGGATGTAAAGATGACATCAGTTGTCTTCCAGGTTGGCAGTAAGTAATTGATTAGATAGGTCATTGAAATCTTTGTCATCTTTATGGTTTTTAGGAAAGAGCACATTTGTGGCTAAGCTAACCAATTAGGTGAACATTTTTTTTTCTAGTTCTAATTCATGTTGATTGTTGAGCATCTGCAAGTTACAATTGCATTTAGGGAAGATAAAAACCATTCTGGATCGCTTCATCCCAAGATAACCAATGAATTCGTTGGTTTCACAAAATTTTATTGATGCTTGTTACTGTGTATGCCAGGCTTTGTTCCAGGCATTTGGGATACAGACAGGATACCTGCCTTCCTTGTCAAATAAAGAAGACTAATAATAAGCCAGAAAACCAAAAAATATACACTTTCTGATAGTTTAGCTAATATTTCCTTTTTTTTTTTTGGATTTTATTCCAGTGTTTTGTTTTGTTTTGTTTTGTTTTGTTTTCCCTGTGCGTAAGTGGTTTTAAATGGAATCAGGATCACATTGTTTTCTGGCCTTATTTGCATGCTACGTCATGTCGGGGGATACAGAGGACAATGGGATTACAGATACTGGAAGATATATTTAATAAAGAGGAGACAAAAAAGATGAGGGAGTTGGGAGAGCCTGTTCTGTGAGGTAACCAGGAAACCCAAGCAATACACCGCGAGGCCAGAGAGTGTGCATGTTCACATCTGGCCACTAGATGGCACTGGCCTCTCTTCTTGGGATAAGAAGTTTCATAACCCTTTGTGAAGGACCTTGGCTATATGCTGTGTGGCTCAACATAGCATTCTCCAGGAGATTTTAAAAGACTAAGCTTTACTTATATTAAGTATATCGAGTTTTAAATAATGTATGTGGGTAATATGTAAGCAGATATAGTCCCAAATGTGGGTAAATTCTCCAAATACTTACTGTTGAGAGTATGAGATCAAAGAAGTTAGGAGGCCACTGGTACAAAACAAGAAAGTGCCCATCCATCCTATAACATGCCCTGTGGGTTATAGAAGGAGAGTCCAGCCGCCAGGGTACCTCTGGGTATTACATAACACCCAGTCTCAAATTATGAGCTTTTTATATTTAATAGCTAGCAGTGAGATGTAAAAAGAGCAGCAGGCTGAGTTCCAGACCCGCCTTCACGCCTAGCGTGGGGGAAATGTAAACAAATTAATGTCTTGGGGCTTCATTTTCATCATCTGTAACACAAGATTAGCCTGGTTTTATTATTCTCTTGATGTTAAAGGAAACTGACTTACCTCAAAAGAAATGTTGATTATAGCCCTAACCAGAGCAACCAAGTTCTCATCTGGTTAAGTCATTCTACCTCCAATTCTTAACACATGAGCGTCAGGCTGCCAAGTTTCTATGGCAAAGTATGTTGTCTTTAGTTATAGTGTCAAATGTTTGATAACTAGATTGTATTCCCTTCCCAGAGTTATAGCAAACTTTGTCATTTAGTACAACCTATCATGATCATCATCACTATCCTCATTTTGCCTAAAACGTGTTGGATTTCACTAATCTGGGGAAACCCAATTATTTGAAACTACCGCTGAAGTATTGCCCCCTTAGAGAACATGAATAATAGCTTTTTATTTTATGATTGGAAAGTGACAAATACTTTCCAGGCACGTTTCTATGAAATGGGGATAGACCCAGTCCTCACCCTAAGGATCTTTGCCCAGGCAGGGAGGAAGACAACAATTATAATCAGGTATAACAATGGCCACACTAGGATCAAGTGCAAGGTACAAGGAAACAATAAGAGTGATTACACAGACTAGATGTGGATGTCACAGAACATCCAGAGGATGCTTCCTGGTAGGTGTGATTCCTGCTCTGGGCTTTGAAAATTAAGGATGAGATCGACTAAATGCCATCACATACAACAGGTCTGCCCCAGGCTGTTGGGCAGTCTGTGTGTTGTACAGAGGCACTCAGCCAAGAAGATGAGAGGCAGTGGAAAAGTAACCCTTGCTCAGCTCACTGAGCCCTGATGGGGGGCCTGTCTGCAGGAGGCCATGGACCACTTTTCTTTTGCTGGAAGGCATCCATATTCTTGCCAAGCCTTGAGTACTGCCAGCCTGTGTCTTCTCAGGGGTGCTTCTTTCTCTAAATATTCTGTCCAGAGCAATGGGGCACCTTTTCAAAGCCAGCAGCTGCTCTGGGGGCAAGGGAGGGTCTGCAGGCAGACGGGCTAGATGCCCTCGATTGCACTGGTTCTGTGTTGCCAGAGCACCAGGTAAATGAAGCCTCTCTCCGCCTGACAGACCTTACCTGTCATGACTGAAAAGTGTGACTTTGCCTGGGAAGAAAATAGACCATTGGTAGATACAAGGTGGCTGCAGGTGAATGTGTGGTTGTGTGGATTTGCATTTCTGAGAGCTCACAGTGTTCAATGTGATTAGGTGTGTGTGTGCATGTGCGTGTGTGCGTGTGTGCATGCGTGTGTGTGTGTGTGTGTGTGTGTGTGTGTGTGTGTGTGTGTTATGTGGGAAGATTCTGAAGTTCAGAGTCAGGGTAACCAATTAGGAACTTCATGCAGGTCAGAAGTAATAAGGGTCTAGCTTAGAATGGTGGCAGAGTAGGAAAGCAAGGGAAGATGTGAAAGGTACTACACAGGCAGATAGTTGGCAACTGCCTGGAGGGGCGGGGGGCGGTCAGGAAAGAAGTCTTACTCGTCTCCCATCTGTGTCATTACCCGACTGTGGCAGAGACACTGGCCTTGATTTTGACTTTATGAATTAGACATGGAGAAGATAAAAGAGAGTTTGTTCCAGAAGATTTCATATGGTACTTGGAAGTTGAGCTAAATCATGACAGATAAAATCAACTCATCTTTTCCAAATGGCAGCTCCCATTTTTCCATACGGATTTCCAGAGCCAAATTAATGGCTGGAGAGCATAAACACGAGCAGTTAGAAGAGCAAATTTGTAACATTTTCACTTGAGAAGAGAAAATAGGGCTTTTTCAAACACTAATTTTTATCTTTTACTTCTGAATAAAGCTTTGCCAATATTGACTAAAGTTTTCTGATTGAGTTGGGTTAGGAGTTGAAAATATTATAAAAAGAGATATTTCTGAAAATAGAGAGATATATAACAGACCAAATTTCAGAGAATTTTACCAATGACTTGGTTCTAAAGACCTTTTTGTTCTTTCATTAATGAATACTCTAGCCTCCCACACAGAATTTAAAACTGAATTATCCCCAAATGGTTACGGTAATCTTTTTTTAATGTTTATTTATTTATTTTTGAGAGAGAGAGAGAGAGAGAGAGAGAGAGTACACAATCAGGGGAGGGGAAGAGAGAGAGGGAGACACAGAATCTGAAGCAGGTTCTGACAGCTCAGAGCCTAACATGGGGCTTGAACCCACGAACGGGCAGATCATGACCGGAGCCAAAGTTGGACACCCAGCTGACTGAGCCACTCAGGCACCCTAGTTCCAGTAATCTTGAAGGAAGCAAATATGTATGCAAGAAGGATAAAAATATTTTTAAAACAACTCTTATCTTAAGCCCCACATTTTATTGGAATTAACTAAGGTAATGAGCTGGCATCTTAGGGTAATTGAATTTAAATGCCTTATAAATAGGACTCCCTTTCTTTCCCCATTCCAGCTAGTAAGTCAGTACTTAGCCTCTCCTTTCTTCCCTCTATTGGGTAGTGTTGAGTGTAGCTGAGTGTAGCCTGCTCAGTGTGATGATTTATTTTTTATTTTGTGATTTGTTTTTATTTAAGCTGAGACTCAGTTATGAATGTTTTATAAGCTGATCTTTTAGGACACTAAAGTCCTGCCTACAACATAAAAACAAAAACATTGTGTGTGTATGTTTTCCCCGAGGAGTGGGAGGTAGGGGGTGGGAAAGCAAATGAGACAAATCTCTTAGGGAATAAGAGTCTCTTTTTCCATTAGAGACCTAATTTGAACCAGTATGGCATTGTTGTTTAAAAAAAAAATCTAGGTTTATTTATTGCCAGTTTGGACTGCTATAATTGCTCAATTCAAATACTAAAATAGGAGAAGGTGGATAAAAGGCAAATTAAATTTGAAAAGTCATTCAAGTAACAGAACACAACAGCCTATAGAAGAAAAGCCCAAAAGTTAAAAATAAGTTCTGAATTTACAAGAATATACTAGCTTCTTACCGAGTGTTATAATGAACTTTCCTTCAGTATTCTTTATACTTTTACATTATTTCCCTACATATCTCTACTGTAAAATAGGAATCAATATTTTTCCCAGTTTCAAAGACTTATTTCTAAAGCACTGAAATGCTTAAAGTAGTATATTAATTAAACTATTCTTTTTTTTAAACTTTTTTAAAAAAAAATTTTTTTAACGTTTATTTATTTTTGAGACAGAGAGAGACAGAGCATGAACGGGGGAGGGTCAGAGAGAGGGAGACACAGAATCTGAAACACGCTCCAGGCTCTAAGCTGTCAGCACAGAGCCCGACGCGGGGCCCGAACTCACTAGCCGTGAGATCTTGACCTGAGCTGAAGCCGGCCGCTCAACCGACTGAGCCACCCAGGCACCCCTAATTAAACTATTCTTAACCACACAGACATTAATGTGTAAAGATATAGATAAGCTGGAAGACAATTTTTTACATTTTTAAATTAATAAATAGATTTTTATTGACATATAGCTGACGTGAAGTTATATTCAATTTTTTTTTTTAACCTATGCCTTTGTTATTATCTTGTCAATGTCTAAGAGTCAAAGGCTTTTGAATTCTACTTCTGGTTCTGGAATTCTCCTTCCTGCTACCATTCTGCTACCATTCTGTTTGTTCCTCTGTGGTTATGAACTTGAGCATGAAAATAACTATATTTATGCTGTTGTTGACAGAAAATTTACTTATATAAAAGCATAAGCTGCATAAAAATCCGTTAAAGGTCAGTTTACAATAAGGTCTCATATTAATGTATTAATTGCAATGTCATATCATTTCTTTAAAGGAGTAAAGCATATTCATCCTGTGGAGGAGGCAACCACGGTTATAACAATGAGTTTAAGAGCATGGAGGTAACTTACTGCTTTATTTTATTTTTTTTAACAAATATTTATTGAGCGCCAACTTTGTCATAGGCAGTCTTTAGGGCCCTTGAATACACCTGTGAACAACACAGATAAGGATCCCTGCCCTCATGAAGCTTTCATTCTAACAGAGGGATATAGACAATTGGCATAGTAAGGAAATATATTATTTGGTATGTTAGGGGATAAATGCCACGGGAAATAAAGGTAACACAGAGTAGGTGGAAATTGGGCATGTCCCAGGGTACCACGGGGGCAGTATGCAACTTTACATAAAGTGGAGAGGGTAAGATTCATTGAGATGACATTTGAACAGAGACTTGAAGAAGGTGAAAGAATCAGCCTTTCAAATGTTCAGGGGATAGGTGTACCCAACAGAGGAAACAGCCAAGTACAAAGGCCCAAAGGTAGGATTGTGCCTGATGCGTTGGGGGCAGGAGAGCCTTCATCGGTTATTGGAAGGATGTAAGACTGCGTGGCTGATTGGAGAAGAAGGAGTGAAGGTTCAGTTGGGCATGTTAAGTTGAAAATATTTATCAGACATGTGAGTAGAGATGCTTTATAGGCACCTAGAGGGAATCTACCCAGAAATAAAAAAAAAAATTGATTTTTAGGTATATCGATTATTTAAAAGATATGCAGCTAGACAAGATCCTGAGAAAGTGAGTATAGGTAGAGAGGAAGACCAAGTCCTGAGCTCTAAGCACTTCTACTTGAAGAGGTTGAAAGAAAAAGAGTCACTAGCAAAGACACCTAGAAGTATAGCAGTGAGCAAAGAAGAAAACCTGGAGCGGAGTATGTCCTGGAACCCCAGGGAAGAGACTATTTGGAAGAGTCCATGAGAGAAGTGTAGCTGATAGGCCCACATAGGTAAACTTCATGATTTTTTGCAACCTCATTATCTTTTTAAAAAATTTATTTCTTTAAATTCAAGTTAGCTAACACACAGTGGAGTCTTGGCTTCAGGAGTAGAACCCAGCGATCCATCTCTTACATACAACAGCCAGTGCTCATCCCAGCAAGTGCCTCCTTAATACCCATCACCCATTTAGCCCATCCCTCTACCCACCTCTCCTCCAGCAACCCTCGGTTTGTTCTCTGTATTTAATAGTCTCTTATGTTTGCCCCTCTCTCTGTTTTTATCTTATGTTTTCCTTCTCTTCCCCTATGTTCATCTTAGTATGCTTCTTAAATTCAGGTGAGTGAAGTCATGTTATTTGTCTTTGTCTGACTGACTTATTTCGCTTAGCATAATTCCCTCTAGTTCCATCCACACTGTTGCAAATGGCAAGATTTCATCGCCATTCTTTTTCATTGCCAAGGAGTCTTATTCCACATCTTCTCTATCCATTTGTCAGTCAGTGGACATTTGGACTCTTTCCATACTTTGGCTATCGTTGATAGTGCTGCTATAAACATTGGGGTGCGTGTGCCCCTTCAAATCGGCATTTTTGTATCCTTTGGATAAACACCTACTAGTACAATTGCTGGGTTGTATGGTAGCTCTATTTTTAATTTTTTGAGGAACCTCAATACTGTTCTTCACCTGCTTGCACCAGCTTGCATTCCCATTAGCGGTGCAAAAGTGTTCCCCTTTCTCCACATCTTTGCCAACGTCTGTTATTTCCTGAATTGTTAATTTTAGCCATTCTAACAGGCAACCTCATTGTCTTTCCTATTTCCATTAATAACACACACACAAACACACACACACACACACACACAAACACACACATACACACACACACATCCCTTCTCAAATAAAGAAAATGTGTTGGGCTCATTATGAATATACTGCCTTTTAATATTGCTGTGATGCATTATATCCCCTTGTAAACATTTGAAAAGTCTCTAGAGACAGAGTGCCTCTCTATCAAATAGAGTACTATTTATTAAGTTAATTGCTAGAAAGAAAACCTATGTCTCCATTTATTTGCTATATTGGAAAAAAAGGATATATACATATTATATAGTCCTATTACCAAAAAGTAATTGTGTTTGACACTTTTCTTCTAGTTATTTGCAATGTGAAAGAATTAGATTGTTATGAAAAACATAATTAACTTAACATTAATTATTTAAATATAAATAAAAAGTATTTAGAATTCTTCATCCGAAAAGTAAAGGGGAGATATTTGAGAAATCGGTGGGTTAGTCTAAGCTGTGAAAAAACTTTAGTGTTTACAAACTTCAGCATGTTTTGGTCATGTATTAACATATTTGAACAATGATATGAAAAGACAACCAAAAGAATTCCTGATGTTATATTATGAATTTGTAATTTATACTGTCCAGATATTGTAGAATTGTGCTGACATTGATTGTCTATTGTTGCTTGTTTTCTCCTCGTCTGTTGACACGCAAGGTGCTGTGGAATCAGGTACATTTAGAAAAAAATAAATACAATATGCATTATATTTGATTGGGATTTGTGGAATCCCAGTCACAGGTGGAAGTGACATACAAGTCATTTTCAAATCTGAAAAGAAATCCTTATAATAGCAGGAGACACAGCTAGGAGAGCTGTGACAGAAGGCAATTGTGTCTCTTCCACCATTTGTTTTTGAGTTTAGATGGCATCTAGTAACAGTAGGACTGTCATCACCTAGGCTATCTTTTTGGCACATGGACCCAGTTTTAAAGAGAAGACTGAAATTGAACCATTCGAAAATATCGAAGTCTATAACCTAATATGTGGTGAGTATATCTATATAAATTTAACATCAAAATGTGGATGTAGTTTTTAAAATACATATTTTGAAATTGGCAATAAATTGAATCCCAGAGGGGGCTGCTCTGCACTAAGAAGACAGAAAGTAGAAAAGATAAGAACGAATCACCATTCTGAATTATTCAGCCATAGTAGTTTATGAAATTATTGTTTCTGATTGCTGGTAATGACAAAGATTAGATCTCAGGAGATGAGCCTTTCTATCAGTTAGTTACTACTTGAAAACTTAATAAAACTTAGGTGAGTAAAATTACATTTCCAACTTTTCAGAGTAGGAAAAGAACCTCTAAAACACAAGTATTTTCTTGTAATTACAGAGAAAAAGCTTCTGGCATAAAAGGATGATAGAAATCCTATTTGTATAGGTGCTTATTATTATACTCAGTGTTAAAAAAAAACCTTAAATAATTAGAGTTTTAGGGGATTTCCCTTACCTTTATGCCTACATGCTTACTTCAAACCATTGTATTAACAAATCGTTTAGGCAAGGTAATGGGTAAGTTGCAATTTCACCTTGAGCTTTAGAATTCTGACATAAATATCCTCACCATTGTCACTCTTAATCTTGCCAAAGGCGTGTGGTGATTGAATATGACTTAGAAACCAAAGAGTATCCACTTGAAAATACTGTGTTGTAGTCTTAACAACTTCGATTCTTGGTTCCCCACCTGGATGTGTGGTCAGAGATGCTGGCCCTTTGTGGGGAAACTTAGAAGGAACCAGATAGGATTTAAGTTCTGGAAGAGATCTATTAGGCGGTATTCAGCAGGGGCCACTTAAAAAGCTATGTTCATAAAATATTTGTATATTGTATTGTTATAGAACAAAATAGAAAAAGTTATCTAAATATTAAGCAAAATCTATGAGTTTAACTTTTTAAAGGTATCTGTCCTTAGAGAAGTTTCATATAACTAAGTAAATATACTACCAATAAGATTGTAAATTATTTAACTTCTTCAAAATTGTTTTTTGATAAAACTATAGCTTTTTATGCTAGAAAGACCATGATATGCTTAAAGAACAAAGTGATCCTTTAAGCAATAATACTTTTCCCTAGAGGAGCAGACACAGTTCCTGAAAATTCCTATAGCTCTTACAGCAACGGTCCCCATTCTCTAGAAAGAGGAGGTGGTGAAACCATGGGGCAAGAGTCAGTAAACCCAATGGCACATGCAGTCCAAGACTGTTTTACGGCAGAATTTATTTATTTATCTATTAATTAATTAATTAATTAATTATTTTTTGGGAGAGCACAAGCTGGGAAGGGGCAGACAGAGGGGGACAGAGGATCTGAAGCAGGCTGTCAGCCTGACAGCACAGAGCCCGATGTGGGGCTCGAACTCATGAATCACGAGATCATGACCTGAGCTGAAATCAGATGCTCAATCGACTGAGCCACCCAGGTGCCCCTTACCACGGAATTTATTAATGGAAATTTTGTTTTCTTCCATCTCCTAGACAGATATTGTTGCCTTTTAATTTAAAACTACTTTGAACTTATTTTTAAAAACAGACCTTCTACACATTCAACCAGCACCAAATAATGGCACCCATGGTAGTTTAAACCATCTTCTGAAGGTCCCTTTTTATGAGCCATCCCATGCAGAGGAAGTGTCGAAGTTTTCTGTTTGTGGCTTTACTGTCCCACTGCCCATAGATACTCTCCATTGTTCATGTCCTGTGCTACAAAGCGTAAGTAATAACTTCATATATTCATAAGAATATAAAGGGGCAAACTAATTTCCATAACCAGGGTTATAGTCAGGGTAGCTGACAACCAGGTTTGTGTTCTAGTTAGGATCTTTACTAAGTAAATGTATGTGGTTTCTCTGAACCTTGTCTGGGGATGAGAGATGCATTGTAAATTAAGTATGTGACTATGCTTTGTAAATTGGAAAGCACTATTTGGAAATTATTAATTCCCTTGTGAGCTAAGTGTCCTTACCATTCAAAATAGTAGAATCTTGGAGCTCTTTTTTATTTCCTTGGTAAACCATCCCTCTTACAGCTACAAGACCTCTTACAGGTCTTTTTTTTTTTTTTTTCAAACGTTTATTTATTTTTGGGACAGAGAGAGACAGAGCATGAACGGGGGAGGGGCAGAGAGAGAGGGAGACACAGAATCGGAAACAGGCTCCAGGCTCCGAGCCATCAGCCCAGAGCCCGACGCGGGGCTCGAACTCACGGACCGCGAGATCGTGTACAGGTCTTTTTAGTGCATCAGGCACTTGGCTGAGTTCAGGAGCTTGACTTCAGATCCCAGGAGACTGTCAGTAAGGTGAGATTCCAGTGCTAGGAACCCCCACCCCCACCCCAAAAAGGCAAGGAGTCAGAACAGGAGCTCAAAATGCAAGTTCTCCTTGTGAGAACTAGAGCACATGGATGGGGCTTGGGGTTTCAGAATGGAATCAGAGCCCAGTTATCAGGAATCCATCAAGTTAAAACCAATGTCAACGTGCATTTGACACCAAGTTCAAAATGTGGTTGTAGAGTTCAATAAGCACCTGCTGCCTCCACCAAGAATTATTCCTTATAACAAGGAGTCAGCAAAGACTTCTATAATCCTCCAAATACCATTACACCACACAGATCAAAAAGTATATAGATAGATGCCAACCAAAAGAGGCTTTAAAGGGTAAAAGTCCAGTCAAGCTTCCCAATAAAAATCAAATCCACAGTCAAGATCAAAGTATGGATGCGGGTTTCTTACCTACAGACAACTTTGATGGAAGTGCCATTTAAAATAATGGTAATAATAATAAACATCACAATGTAGACTAAAACACTACATTTTAGGAACGAAGAAGGGTCAGAGAAGTCAGGTAAATTGTCTCAGGTCATGGGTGTTTGGTCTACCTCCTGACTGCCAGCTTCCAAATTCTTCTCTGTAAAGAATGCCCTTTGCTATTCAGTGTGGTCACAGGATCAACATCTGCCTCACTTGCAAGCTGCTCAGAGATCTAGAATCTCAGGCCCCACTGAGCTCAGGTTTACTAATCAGAATCTGCATTTTAACAAGACCCTCAAGTGAGTTGTACTCCTATTAAAGCCCTAGAAGCCCAGGGATGTTGTTATTTCAGTTTAGCAGTTGATTCTAGCTGTGGTCAAAATGCTTTGCCCCAACATCAATTGTATCTTTGCAAATTCCCACACAAAGTCTTTTAATGAGTAATAGTATCTCTGTATTTCTGAGTAAGTGGCAGAATTGGAATTTAAACTCAAGTTAGTCTGGCTTCTTTGTTGAGTAGTAAAATATTCATGTGATTACTGCAATCCTGATCAGGAAATAATCCTGATCACCTTTTACAACATGTGTTATCACTTTGACTTACTTTCTCCCTTCCCCACATTGTTTTACAGAATGCTGCTTTAGAACATGTGAATCTAATGCTAAATCTCTCCCAAAATGAAAGTAAGTCAGTAGAAAACATGTCAAGTCTTTGATGTTTAGGCCCAACAAAACACAATATTGCCTTTTTGGGGGTTCTTTAAAATAAACTCACAGAGGCTTTTGAACATAAAGATTGTATTGCCAATGTATAGGAGGGGGAAAAAACAGAACTAGATCTGGTAAGATCAGTTGCAAGCCTGAGTAGTTATAGTGGTTCCAGGAACACAACAAATTCCTTGAAATGGTTGTGCCTTCTCTACGGTCCCCTGTTCCCTTTCTTAGATGTGAACAGGGTTCACTGCCTGGGTTGGAGTCCTACCTCTACTGCTTCTTGGCTGTGTAACCTGAGCCAAATCACTTAACGTCTCTGTGCCTCTGTCTACTCATCTATAATAATGGTACCCAGCTCATGTGGTTGTAAAGACTGAAAGAATTAATCCATGGAAAGAATTTAGAACAGCGCCTGGCCTGTAGCGACATTATTAATATCCGTTATCTTTAAAGTATTCTTGTGTTAAACTCATTGGGCTTGTTTCATCATTTATAAAATGGGGATACCGTCTTTATAGAGTTTTTATGAAGATTAAATGAGTTAATCTATGTGTGCACTTAAAATAGTGCCTGATGCACAGTAAAAGTTCAGTCAATGTCTTGGTTGGTTTATAATCTTTTTATAATCTATTGAGTGTTATTTCATGGCATGAATACCTTGCAGGTTTTTAAAGTATCAATAATTGATGGAGTTTTAGAATATACTAACGGGCAAATAAAAATAAATACATTAGGACATACTTTTCTTTATAAAATTGCAACATTGTTCCTATGATAATTATTAATGTAGGTCATCTTTGTTACAAAGTATGTCCTTTTGATTTTGAGGTTTTTCCCTCTTCAAATATGTCCTGTGAGCTGTTAGCTGCTTGGCTAAATAACTTATCTAAGCCCTAGTTTTGTAATATATAGAGTGGGATAATAACACTTCAGAGTTGTAAGAATTAAGAGGTTAAGTATGTAAAATATTTATGAGAGTAACTGGCATATAATAAACCACCAGAGAATGATGGTTTTTTAAGTTTTTATTTATTTGAGAGAGTGAGAGAGAGCAAGTGGGGGAGGGGCAGAGAGAGAGGGAGAGAGCGAGAATTCCCACCAGGCTCTGTGCTGTCAGCATAGAGCGCCCATGCAGGGCTCGAACCCACATGAACAGAGATCATGAACGGGGCTGAAACCGAGTCAGACACTTAACCAACTAAGCCACCCAGGCACCCTGAGAATGATAGCGTTATGCATAGAAGCATTTGCTAATTTTACAACCATTTTTATGTTATTGTCAATTTTAGTAACAGCCACAGAGAAACTAAATGTGCCATTTGGGAGGCCCAGGGTCATGCAGAAGAACAAGGAGCACTGTCTTCTCTATCACAGGGAATATGTCAGTGGATTTGGAAAAGCTATCAGGATGCCCATGTGGAGCTCATATACAGTACTCAAGCCAGTAAGTTTCTGTGTCCATTGATCCCCAAAGACTGGGAAAAAAAACATTTGTAGCTCTCTAATATTCTAAGAATTGAATTTTGATTTTCAGTAGAGATCCCAAAGTGAGTTTGTCTTGTAAGACAATAGCCCAGATATTGTTTAAAGGTATTTATAGGTGCTGTATGGGTGCAAAAGAGGAACACAGTGAGTTTTGCCTGGAGAAATTAGAAGGTGCTTACAGGCCAATTGGTAAGGCAGGTAGGAAAGATTTCAAAAAGAAGCAACAGGAATACAGAGGCACACCGTTTATTTTGCATATCCTACGTACACAGTGGGTGCACCTGGAAGGTGATGGTAACTAGATTATAAAGGGCTTTATATTTATTTGATTATTTAACAAATACCTTACTATCTGCTGTGTGTATTATGGCAGGCACAAGGAACACAATGTGAATAAAAAGTAATCCTTCCCTGAAGGATACAGTATTCTAATAAATCAGGCTAGACTTACATGTATAGATGTGCCTTGTCATAGAGCTCTCCAGACTGAAGTTGAGAATCCAATTGTTTATATTCTCTTCCTTTCTCGCTGTCTGGAAAACACCTTTTGGGTAAGTGACCCTGAGACATGTGGCTAGCAAAATAAAGAAAATGTCAGATCTCTAACTCACACCGTATACAAAATTAAATTGCTGGTAGATTTATAGACTTAAACGTGAACAGCAAATCTGTTTTCCTTTGTGTATATCCTTATGACCTTGGGATAGAAAAGGATTTCTTAGGACCCAAGAATAAAAAAAATTATTAATTTGACCATATTAACATTAATGTGTGACAAAAAGACAAAGTTATGGATGAGACAATATATTTGCATTGCATATAAGAAACAAGAGATGGGTAGTATCCAGAATGGTAATTAGGATCTAGACTAGCTAATAAATTTCTTCCAATAAACAAGAGAACAAGAGAATGATAAACTTCTTAGTTAATAAATGGACAAAGACTATGAGCCATGCAATTGAACTTCATTAGCAATCAGGGAAATGTAAATGAAAGCAAAAATCAGTCTGCCAAAAACCAGTCAAAACCCCCCTTCAGGGCATGGATGGTCCTGTTTAACGTATCCTCACAATAGAGCTGCCCTGTCAATGCTTCCTGAATGACTGTGTTGGCTAGATTAATCCCAACCATTATTTTTAAAGGCTTTAGGACAATGCAGTACTTTCAACCAGCAGGGTAAATAAATAATCAGGAAGCTGTTTTGTAAAGAAAATCTTGATATCTTAGATCCAAAGATTCTGATGACAAATGTCAACCTATACTGTTCTTCCTAAGGGTACAGATATTCCACCCCTTTTAATGGCAAGGAAGTGATTGGTTTATTTACTTTTCTTCTGTTCCAATTTAAGATTTCTGGAGAAAAATAAGCATATTTTCCCACTATTAATTGAAGCTTTGTGTGTTCTGAACACCAGCTCTGCTGCTGACAATGGTTTAATTGTGGTCAGTGGTAGGAGAGCCCTGATATTTCCCAATGTGGGCAAATATTTTACCAACAGTTACCTGAGTTCATGTGTATGGTTAATGGCAACATCACTTTCCTAATACACAACATTGGTGTTTGTGATTTTCTTCAGCATACTGTGGAACAACAATATGAAGTTGTTTATTCCTTGAAATAATTTCTATTTGTTTTTGTTTTTGAGAAGGGCAGTATATTTAAGGCCAGTCTTATTATTCAGTTCTCTATTTTGAAAAGTCCAGGTTATCAGGGACTCTGTGGAGTTAAGGGGAATGTTGATGTTTTTAATACTTTCCCCTGCTGTCTTGCATTCCTGAATTTATATGAGCTTTAGCGGAAATCAGAGGCAGAGAGATTTTAAGTGGGCTCAGACCAGGCGTTTAGTACAATTCTTTTTTGTTATTGTTTTAAAACTGGCTTCATTGTTACCAAAAGTTCCTGCCCTTTCACTGATCCCACAGACCTACTTGTATATTTCTCCCTCCATGTGACAGGATGGAATTCTAGCAATTTTCTGCTTTCTAATTCAGAAATTACTCTGTTAGTATGTTGTGGTTCAAGAAAATTACATACAAGGATGTTTTGAGATTCACATAAAAATGTTGTAAATCAGCCCTGTGTTTGAAAAAAAAAAAATCAGACTTTAAATAAGCACTTTTTGGAGCATGGGCCCAATTGGCTTGTGCCTTTAAGTTTTATGGAGCTTTTGTTTTTCTGTGGTTTTGGTGGGTTTTCTAATTTTTGTTGTTGTTATTATCTCAGAAGAGTTCTGGAGAAGTAGCTGTGATTTGAAATCATGGTCCTAACAACAACTGCTTCAAAACCATTAGAGTTGATTAGACTGTATATGCATTTTGCTTCTGGGCCTGCTCAGGAGGGCCAGATGAATGGCTTTTTCTGTTGCTAGATGAAAAATTGAAATTAAGAGCAAGAACTGTGATTATGTTTTAGAATGTATGCCTTATAAATTTAAAATAAATCAAAGAACTTTTTCAGAGAAGAAAATCTAGCACACTTGCCAAGCACTTCTCTCTCTCTTGATCTATATTCGTACATACCTTGCTTATCACTGGATTTGGGCTGGTGGGGGGGGGGGGGGGGGGGGTGGACGGGGAGGAGGGGCTCAATCTCACTACCGTGAGATCATGACCTGAGCCAAAATCAAGAGTTGGACACTCAACCGACTAAGCCACCCAGACATTCCTTCGCTGGATTTTTAAATAGCCTTGTTTTGTTTCCAAAGTTTCCTAGCGCTAATATTATAAATTATGACTTAATCATGTTTTGTGACTCTTTAAAAAACTAGGAACGTTATTATGTATTGCAAACATTTTTTTAACTATAAGAAATATTTTTCCCTATAGAAAAAAGCCACATGCCCAGAAGAATAATTTAAAAAGTATACAGTTAGTATTCTTACCATAAGTTCAGATGGTAACAATCCAATCTTCAAATAAATAACTAGCTTTTATGATCAGCCTACAGGTAAAGAGAGTCTGTAGCTTCAATAAAAATACTTTTATCTCCTGTTCAAGTTTTATTTTAACCCCATGCCAGACTAGAAATGAAAGTATCTTGCTTTCCTGTCTGTGCTCATCACCTACTTCTCTTGAAGAATTTTGAGAGCTAGGGAGTTCAGATTTTATCTGAGTGTCTGAGTTCTATTTATTCTTTTCCTGACTTTTATCCCCTGGCTTAAAAAACTCTAAGGAACTCTGAAAAGCTAGCAGGGCTGAACCTGTTTCTGTGTGTGGAGGTGCGGTGGGGGGGGGGGGGGGGGGGGGGGGGGGGGGGGGGCGATGGTTCACTGTATCTTCTCTCAGGAACCCAGGACTCAGAAATGATGTGACCACACCTCCCCTCTATCCTTTTAAAGGGCTGCCTAATGCATAACCTCATGTTCATACAGGAGGCCACATCCTGTCTTTCCTAGTCTTGATGCACTTATATTTGGGGTTCAAGTATGGTATGTAAGAAACAGGATTTTCATTACGCAAAAGAAGTGTAACTTTTTTTTAGTAATTTCTGACTAAACCCATTTTGATCCATGTGCCCCAATGTCTATGCTACTTAGAGAAAATAGTAAATATTTTTGTCCGTTATTTGAGTACAACTTCTACAGCTGCAGTCTCATTAAAAATTACAATACACTTCCCTCCTTAACATTTTTATTATATTAACTGTTGAATGCAGGCATTTCACCTTGCTTACATTACGGAAAATGTGACCGTGGCTACATTCATGTATTGCACACTTCAAGTAAAGCTTACAAAGCATGTGAAGATTTAGAGGAAAGCGATAGGGATGTGTGGTAGGAACCATCAACTCACAATATTCTGGTTGTCTACGCAGCTGACAGTCGATATTGTTGGTTCTCCCATTTTGCAACATCTTCACGTGCCCCTTTATGTCAAGTGGAGAAACCTGGTCATTGAGAACTGTTTGCTAGGGTGTGTTTTTGAAAGAATATAAACAGATGTTTTTAGCTTTCCAGTGTCTGCACCAGGAGAGTGAAATAAATGGTGAGAGCTAATCCATTGCCTCTAACACAAAAATCTTCATGTTTCTTGCTTTACTTTTTGGTTTGGTAGATTATATCACTCAGGAACTTCCTGAGAAAGGAAGATGGAAAGGTACATTTTTGAGACTTTGTGCATCTTTTTTTTTTTTTTAACGTTTATTTATTCTTGAGACAGAGAGAGACACAGCATGAACAGGGGAGGGGCAGAGAGAGAGGGAGACACAGAATCGGAAACAGGCTTCAGGCTCTGAGCTGTCAGCACAGAGCCTGACGCGGGGCTCGAACTCATGGACCATGAGATCATGACCTGAGCCGAAGTCAGACGCTTAACTGACCAAGCCACCCAGGCGCCCCAACGACTTTGTGCATCTTAACAAATTCTTATTCTATCTACACACTTACTTGATGGGTTACGTTTAGATTTTAGAGGTGATTTTTCTTCAAATTAATAAGACTTCCTGGACTGATTCTCTAATGTTTTTATATGTTCTCTAATTTTTTTTCCATCTTTTGTTAAATTCTACTTTTTGACAGATATTTGCAACTTTATCTTATAACTCTTATTGAATATTTTGTTTCTGCTGTCATAACTTTTTATATCCAAGAGCTCTTTCTGCCTTTTTTTTTTTTAGCATTTATTTATTTTGAGAGACAGAGACAAAGCATGACTCAGGGAGGGGCAGAGAGAAGGAGACACAGACTCTGAAGCAGGCTCCAGGCTCTGAACTGTCAGCACAGAGCCCGACGTGGGGCTGGAGCTCACAGACTGCAAGATCATGACCTGAGCTGAAGTCAGATGCTTAACCAACTGAGCCACCCTTTTTGCTTTTCTATTGTGTTCTCTTCTTTCTGTATGGATGCCGTACATACTCTCATCTCTCTAAGGAGTGAGTTTTCTTCTCTCTCCGCATTGTCTCTTTTTTGTCTTGGTTCCTCCCCCACCCCGACAAAACGCCTGATGATCCTTGGCTGTAATTTTATATGTTAAGGGAGAGGAACTAAGCTATGTGGCTGGGGCTTGCAAGATGATAGACTTCGCTATAGGTTGATCAGGATGAGAACCAGCCATTTTGTTGGGGATTCCCAATGGTAAGCATCTAGGTTTCCTTTCAGGCTGGCTTTTGTTTCCCTGAAAAGGGACACTTTTAATCTGATCCAGCATATATAATTGGTAGCCTTCATGGTAGCAATGAGACTGACAGGAGTCTTATCATTCAGTATATAGATTTTTATTTAATCCCATTACTTTCAATATGGTGCACCTGCTCTCTGGGCAGGTGTCCTTTAGTCTGGACGTCCCTCTGGTTCAACCTCTCTAGTGAGTAGATGTTTTATCTAGCCTCTTTTACAGACTTTCAACCTATACTCTTCTTTCTGGCCCTATGTACATTACCTGTCTTTAGGAAACTCCCAAGTTCTACCCTTGGGGTTTGGCAGTAGGAATCAGCTTCTTTGTGCTTTCCCCAATCACAGGCTTTTGGTTGTCAGTGTTTACTGCTCTATCAAGTCATGTTACAATAGTAAACAAATAGGATTTCCAGCTTCTGAAAATTTCTTATCCATTATGTGTCTTCATCATTAATGTTCTTTTCAAGGGATTTCAGAAGGGAACAGAGATAAATGTGTTCAATCAAGTTGACAAGTCTATTCAATTTCTGTATAAGTGTTTTACAACCGAAGTGTTGTAGTATGTTAGAGGGTACATTCTCTGGGTGACTTTCCCCAGACTTCCCTCATCTTTATCTCCTACCTATTCCATGTCTATTCAATGTCTATTCTCCTATCTATTCTTCATCGTACTCTCTTGCCTATGAATGTAGTGCACAGTGTTTTTTGCCTTTTTCTTTGTGAATTGAGCTTATGCATATTATTTTTCTCCCACTTTATTGAGATATAATTGACACATAACATTGTATAAGTTTAAAGTATACAACATGATTTGTATATTGTAAAAATGATTGCCATATACATTTTAGACATCATAGCTTATTTTTGGTTTTAGCACATGCAGTGAATAAAGGATATCTTAAATTAATTTAACCATTTTTTATAAATTATTTTAAAAATTTTGTTAAGAAATATATACATTGTGGACAGTAGTGGGCATATGAATCAAAATCTGAAAAAAAAATGAATAACAAAATGTTTACTCACTCATGGTTACAACCTAATTGAAATATGATGATGATTTAATACTGTATTACCTTAAGTACTTGGGTTAGGCAGCATATTTATAGGATGCTTGCTAGTGGATAAATTATTGTATTAGTCTTTAAATAGAGTTACAGGGGCGTCTGGGTGGCGCAGTCGGTTAAGCGTCCGACTTCAGCCAGGTCACGATCTCGCGGTCCGTGAGTTCGAGCCCCGCGTCGGGCTCTGGGCTGATGGCTCAGAGCCTGGAGCCTGTTTCCGATTCTGTGTCTCCCTCTCTCTCTGCCCCTCGCCCGTTCATGCTCTGTCTCTCTCTGTCCCAAAGATAAATAAACGTTGAAAAAAAAAATTAAAAAAAAAAAATAATAAAATAAATAAATAGAGTTACAAAGAAAATTATAAAAAACTTGTTCCTATATTTCATGATAAATTAAACATGGCTACAATTTTTTTTAAATCCCCAAATAAGTAAGATCAGACAACCATAGCTTCTTTGAATTAATCTCAGGTTGCCCAGTTGAAGAATAACAACATCCTTAGTTCATATGTGTATTTTTGAAATAAATTGTTTGTTATTTATTTTCAAAATTTACTTGCAGGTACAATATATTTCACCACCTAAAAGTTAGATCCTGAAAAGAATTTTGGTTTTTAGCAGTAGCTCCCATTATTCCTTTTTTACTCCCAGTTCAGGATTTTATTCTGTAAATATTCCTTTCCAAGATGTATTTGATTTGCCCTCACAGTGTCCCTAACCAGAAGGGAACCACAGAAGAAAACATTGCTGAAGACATCCATTTCCATTGCTTGCGTAGACCTGATTCACTAAGAAAATAGGAAAAGGTTAAATGAAAAACATTCTAGGGAAGTTACAAACCATATAAGGTGATGGGTTAGCCACAACTGTGGGTGTAACTTTTTTTTTTCTTTTTCTCTCTTTCAACAGGGAGACACATCTCCTCTTCCTCCCACTGTCCCAGACTGTCTGCGGGCTGATGTTAGGGTTGCTCCTTCTGAAAGCCAAAACTGTTCCTTTTATTTAGCAGACGAGAATATCACCCACGGCTTCCTCTATCCTCCTGGTTAGTATAACTCTTTTTTAGGGCAACAACTTAGAAAGCCCTCATCAGCTGGATGTGGGCATATGCCTTAAACATATGCTCCCCACCTAAACTACCTGCTTGGGCTAAACTAGCTGCCCAGAGGCTTCCAGTGGTTGTGGGCTGACCTGATACAGTGTAACAGCTATAATAAAGACTAATAAATTTTGCAGTGGGAACCACACATCGGCTCTAATCTGGCCCAGATGTTCAGAGAGTTCGTCAGGTTTAAGTTTAATTTTAAAACGGAAGATTCTTTGGAGATGAATGCAAAGCGTCTAAAAAATATTTTTTCTGGCTGCCACCCCAGCTAAGGCCTGCACCGAGAGTGCAGCTGTGTCTGTGGCGAGAAATCAGGCTGGAATTCTGGCCTGTCACACATGGGGCAAGCTCATGTCCGACAATTTCACACCGTGGATTAAATAGCTGAATGAACTTTACGTTTCTCATTTGTTTGTTTTAGAAAATGTCTCTTCTCTTGGGAACATACAAAAACCAGTGTCATTTTCCCCTTTTTTTTTAAATGTTTATTTTTTATTTCTGAGAGAGAGAAAGAGCACAGTGGGGGAGGGGCGGGGGGGTGTAGAACAGAGCATCCCAAGAGGGCTCCACGCCCATAGCAGAGAGCCCGACGCGGCCGAACTCATGAACTGTGAGATCATGACCAGAGTTGAAGTCAGATGCTCAACTGACTGAGCCACCCAGATGCCCCACCCATGTCATTTTTCTAAACTCAAATCTTTTCCCTATTCAGCAGGAAATGTCATTTTTGTTAACTCACTCATGAGATTTTCAACAATTTCAGCTTCTGGGAATGGGTTTGCTTCTGCTGTTTGGCTTCATTTTTCTGGAAGCCATGACCTACAAGGTCAGTTTAGAGATTTATAATTTAGGGATTCTTACAGTAAGGAAAGAAAGGCTTAATGAAACCAAGTAGCATGTCAGTTTAAATTCCTAATGCTGAATTAGGACAAATAAGCTGATATATCTTATTAAAATATCTTCAGACAAAGTTCCCAAACTTATGCAAACCATAGGATAAACCTTACATAGTTGCAACATTTTATTAATAAAATTTTTAAATTGGCATATAATATTGTATCTGTTGAGCCATAAGGCATTTGTTGATATATAAATGTTTGCCTTGACAAAGAGATGAAATTAATAAGTAAACAACTTGTCTCAAAAAATATTAAGGATGAAATGAAACTCTGCTAACTCTCCACTACTCTGTTTGTTAAAAAGTCCGTTGTAAGTTAATCTTATTTTTCTCTGAAAAGGAGGTAATGCTATATTGATGGCTATCCCAACTTTCAGGGCTTAGTTTAAAAAGTAGAAAAGGCTTCTAGGGGTTCTGAGGACTGTGAATAACATGTGAAATTTTAAAGAAAAAACCCAACAACTTGTTTTTCCTTGCCTTTTGGTGCCCCCTCATTAGCCTTTCATTTAAATATTAGTTAACACACCCAAATGCATGTTTAAACACAAAGAGCATTATAATTATAATAAACATTTACAGGCTTGCAGCTTTTTTAATCCTCAGGATATTTATATGACATAGATGCCATGAGACAAATGAAATGCAGAGGGACATAGCATTTTGCTCTAGTGGTTCAGCTGGTAGGTGATGGAGCTGGGGTTCCAACCGAGGTAGTCTTGGTTCTAGAACATACTATGCCCAGCACTCAATGTGCTAGACAGCACATCCATGAGTCCTCAGAACCAATCCTGTGTGGTGTCATTAGCAGTCTTCATTGAGTTAAAACTAGCTCTCTGAAGAAAATTTGACTTTAGAATGGTTACTTATAATAGCATTATTATTTTGTGCACATTCAATAACTATGCATTCACGTTGGTATAGTGTTTGTTTTCTAGGGCTGTTGTAACAGATTACCACAAAACCACTAGCTTAAAACAATAGAAACGTATCTCTCACAGATCTAGACACCAGAAATCTAAATCAAGGTGTTGGCAGGGCCAGGCCTTCTTTGAAGGAGAGAATCTAGGGGAGAATCCTTTTTTTTACCTCTTCCTGCTTCTGGGGGCTCTGGGCATCATTTGATACATGGCTCATCACTCCTAATCTTTGCCTCCATCTTCCCAGTGCCTTCTCGCCTGACTCTCTCCTGTTCTCAACGCACTCTCTTTTTATAAAAAACACCAGCCCTCTCTAAGTCCAGGATAATCTTATCTTGAGACCCGTAACTCAGTTCTATCTGTGAAGACCCAATTTTCCTGTATATCACATTCACAGGTACAGCGGGGTTAGGACTTGGACATATCTTTTTGAGGGTCACCATTCAACCTACAGGCATCAAATGCATAAAACTGCTGGCATTATTGATAATGTCTGCTGGAGAGTACTTAGTATCCCTATGTTTTGACTGCTAATGAATTTTCATTAGTATGTAATTGTATTTTGCTTAGTATGGAGTATGATATATTTTCTCTTCTAGTTTGATTTAATCAAATTCATTTGTTTTGCAGCAAACAATAGAACTTCTGATAGTCAATATGATGCTTTAATCACAAGTAACTTGGTCCCTATGTATAAAGCATTTAAAAGTAAGTATACATTTAGATTATTAATTTAAGTACCTAAGTGACTTTGTGAACTTACAAACTAAACACCGTCTTTTATGGCAATATCTCCATGATATTGGGTCATTATGTTCTACTGCTTTAAATTTAGGAATAGGAAGGACCTCTGGCATTATTTTTTTTTTTTTACTTCAACTTTGGGTGCCTTGTGATTAGAGCTTCAATAATTTATTTTTAATCCTAATTTAGCTGTAAATGGCTGTTCACAAAACAAAATTTTACTGACACTTACCGTAAGTAAATGTTAGGTAGTTTGTCCCTAGAATCATAATCAATACAGCAGTCTGTAGGTTCTGACCATTATTTAGTATCACTGTCCCCAAAGCAACTCAGCACTAGGGAGGAATTTGGAAACAAATTTTACTGTAATTTCACAACGGCAACTACATCGGCAACAAGAAATATCATCAATGTGGCTATTTATTTAATTGTGTTGTATGGACTGTTTTGCAGAATTACCTAATCACCATGGACAATTACCAAAGCAGTCTCTGATACTACTTAAATGTACCTGTCTGTAATAGAAAATATTTCCATATGCAATAAGGGTTGATATTTTTAACATCTTATTCTATTATTTTTAGAAATGTGGGATTACTTCCACAGTGTTCTTCTTGTAAAACATGCCATGGAGAGAAATGGAGTAAATGTGGTTAGTGGGCCAGTATTTGATTATAATTATGATGGTCATTTTGATGCTCCAAATGAAATTACAGAGTAAGTAATTTGAAAACAAATGGACTTTTTGATTTAGCAGTGGGATATCATGAGGGGAAACCTCAGTACTCTAAATAAAAGCTTAGTATTTGAAATATTACACAATATATTTATATAGAGATGTTATCATTGACTATTTTCAACCATCTAAATATATAGCAAAACTTTTATACGGCAAACATTTAAACTAATAGGCAAGGAAAAAATGTCCAGGAAGAGTTCAGCAAAATTTTTATTTGGAAAATTTCTAAACAAATGGGCACAGGGAAAATGTGATTTTGTAAAAGTTAAAGAGATAAGGAAGACTCACTGTATATCAGTAAACATAGAAGCATTCCAGCAAAAAATAAATAAATAAATAAAATGTCAAGTAGTGACGATTCACAATGTTGTCCAATAGTGAGTGATCCATAAAATACCTTCCAGGAGACGGTATAGGCTTCCCCTAGAAAACCAGTCCTAATAATCTGTACATTTTTGTACTAAACCTGGTCATAATATGTTGCTAAGAACTACCTTTGAGTGCAGTATACAGGCATACAGAGTTTTAGAAGTTTTATCTTTATTATCAAAATGTATGAAAGGCAAACTAAGTCATTGTGCTGTCTAAGCCTATGTTGTGTAACACAACAATTTCTACCTATACCTTCTGATTAACATTTTTGATGACTCAGTGTGTGGCCTTTTTCTATTTTCATTTGCCTTGTTCTTATTTTAGTGTTTATTAATCCTATATTTCACCAGTTAATAATTCTAACAAACACTTTGATAGCACTTTACTATATGCCAAGTATTTTTCTGTACACATATACTTCATTTAGTCCACAAAACATTCTTAGGTTAGATTCTTCTAGCCCCCATTTAGAGAGGAGGAAACTGAGGCACAGAGAGGCTGAGTATCTTGTCTATGTTACACAGCTGCTAAGTGGCAAAGCCAGATACAAACCCAGAAGTCTAGCTCTGGTTCATGTAAAAATCTTAAAATCCCAGTAATATTGCTCCTTGTAGCAGCTCATATTTTTTTTTACCAGGCTCATAATAATAGCTTTCCTTTATCGTGCTCTTAATTTTTTTTTTAAATACTTTCATGTTCATTATCTAAAAGACTATCATCTGTTGTATGGATTTATTTCCATTTCCGCACTGTGAAGTAGGTAGCACAGGATCACCTCCATGTTAAAGTTGAGGAAACTTACTAAGTCATAGAAAGTTAGAGGATCAGCACCCGCCCAAATTATCTAGTGGAAATGCACGGCTAGGATTGGAATTGGGGCTTCTTTGTCCCAGTCCCTGCTCCCCTGGAAAATGTCTCTGTGAAGTATAAAGTCAACAAAGCTGGGAAACACAGGAGGCAAAATGTCATGGTCTGCTTTTCTTTGGATTCTAATATTCTTCATTTATGCTAAAATGACCAAGTTTGGACTTCTATAAATTTCTGTTCTGGCTCATGGAAGTCTAAAAATATGTGATAAGATTTTGTACTTTCTATTCACGTACTTTTTTCTTGGACTATATTTTTACCTTGGCATTTAAAATATTTATATAATGACATTTATAAATTTTAGAAGCAAAAGTATAACAACATCCAATCTTTTCCATTGTGTTTTTAGATATATAAAGAACACTAGTGTTCCCATCCCAACTCATTACTTTGTGGTGCTGAGCAGTTGCAAAAATAAGAGCCACACCCCCAACGCCTGTCCTGGGTGGTTGGATGTCCTGCCCTTTATTATCCCTCACCGACCTACCAACGTGGAGAGCTGCCCTGTGAGTATGCTCCTGGAGAGTCCTCAGGACCTGAGAAAATGATTAGTCAGATCTCCTACAGGCTTTTATAAAAGTGGCTTTGGCTACAACATGGGCAGGGTTGTACTAAAAATTACCACATTTTTAAACTTTTCCTTAGACTATTGATCTTTATGTAATAGATATCAATTTAAATATGGATATGCCTACATGAACATGTTTTTAGATATGCGTATCTTACGTATTTTATTCATACACATTTTATTCACACTCACTCAGAAGGGAAGGGTTGGTACCTTATTAATATTTTGATTCTTAATATAGAAATTTAAGGTGCTGTGCCAAAGTTGGCACTAAATTAATGTTTCCTGAAGGAATACGTAAAAAAAACTCCATCAACTCGAAACGTGAGGTCTGAAATTAATTACACATACATACGTACAATGAGTTAAAGTAACTCTTTTTTTAAACATCATGTGTTAGTCTACTTCAGCATCTTTATGTATCAAGGAAAATTGTATGTAACTAGTTACTTAAATTTGCCTGAATTTTTTTAGAAAAAAATATGTATTCTTGTAATTCGGTTTCACTAGTCATTCAACAAATATATTTTCACAGTGTACAGTACTGTGAAAGAAACTTTTTAGAATGCACCAAGGAGAAATACATAGTCTCTGCCCTCACGGAGTACATCTATAACTTTGATATGTAAATGAGACATAAAAATGAAATATAAATAAGGATAAATTAAATATGGACATGTAGATGGGTCAGTTGATAATATAAAAATTATTTTAAAAATATAAAGGTAAGAGATGTCACAAAGTTGTTATTAATTGCTAAATACTGCTATAAGGATTTAGTGTTTCAAATTTGAAACACATTTGGCAGGAATAATCAATAAAGGAAGGTTACGTAAAATGAGAAGGGAGTAGGGCTGGGCCCTGAGAATGGGCAGAATTTGTACAAATTGAGAGGATTAAGAAGAACCTTCAGTGGAGAAAAGATTTGGTAGCGGGTTGGATGCAAGAGCCACAGAAAAAAGGAGACTAGAAGATGAATCAGAGATTTTAAATGTAGGTAATTAGAAAAAAAAAAAAACATAGAGGGAAGTTAGGAATGAGAACTATTTTGGCAGGTAGATAAGATAGTTAAGTTTAGGCATGTCCCTTGTAGAAATAGGCGTTCACATGGAAAATCCCATAGGCTAGTAGAGACTGGAAAAAGCGTAGGTTCTAGGCCAGACTGGGATTCATCTTTATTCTTTTAGATGTTCAACACATAACTGCCTTCATCATACTATGTATTGTGGGAGATACACAGATGAAATAGACATGAATTCTATCAAAAGTGCTCATAGGCTAGCCCATAGATACCTAGTAAAATAGAAGAAAGAAGAGAAAAGTGGCACAAAGAAGGACAGATAAAATTGTTATAGGACTTCAAAGGAGAAATATTTCCTGGTAGGGAAGGCGACATTCTAACTGGGTCTTGAAGACAGGATGTGAACTTGAATGTTTGAATGGTTTTTCAATGACTAAAGATGGAGGGCATAGGTTAGAGGCTAAACAGTGGGTCTCTCATAATCCTAGAGTGGGGAAAGGTTTCCAAAAACAGGGAAGCCATCATTCTTCACTTACTCTTCCAGTGGCAGACAGTGGTGACTAATACAGTATGGTGCTGGCTACCACTGAATCAGAATTAAATAGTTCTTTACAACGGGTTCTAGGTAGAAGAAACTATTGGATATCCCTGATCTAGGTCCTTATTACCTTTTATCAGGACTTTTGAAAATGAATCTTAAGTAGCTTCATTGTCTCTTGTCCTCCTCCCCTTCACCTCTGTAGTATACCAGTTTACCTTAAACCTTAGGTTTCATTATGACATACTTTTTCATCCCAAAACGTTATCTACCCAGAATAAAAAATGAAAACAAGCAAACAAAAAACTCCTAGCCTGCACTTAAGACTCTTCACAATTTATCTTTGGTTAGACCTGCAAACCCAAGTTGTGGGCTAACTGAAGTCCTTGAAACTACTTGACATATCTTGGGTTTCCCTACCTCAGCGTCACTGCTCCTACTTTTCTCTCCTATAATGCCCTTGTTTTCCATCTGCTAAAAATTCTACCTACGCTTCAAGGTAAAGAACAAATGATATAAAGCCTCTGACATCCCAAGTAAAGATGATCTCGGAATTAATAGGGAGTCATCTCCATGGAATAAGACATCAACACTAATGAACATTATCTAAGATTTTAAGGAATTTGAAGTATACTAATAAGGGTATGGCATTTATAAAGGTAATTATGAGACATAATATGATGAGTGTAAAGCAAATTTAAACCAAGCTATGAGAGAGATTGTGAACAAGATGTGGCTGTCAGACATGAGGGAGGTGAGAGGCAGTATGGAAAGGGTCAAATGTAACTGAAAACTTAGGCATAACTGACTAGGACATATATAAGACAATCAGTTGTTTTGGGAAGGATGAATTCGCTCTTTTTAGTTTTCAGATTGAGAGGCTAGTTGATTATCTAGGAGGATACATGAGAAGCAGCATAGGATAGATCTTAAATGCACGGATTTGGGAGTTGGACATCTTGTGTTCAGTTATTGATATGACTTCTTTGGGTAAATAATTGAATGTTCATCTCCTCAACTGTATAAGAAATCACCTTCCCTAATAAAATTGCTGTGAGCATTAGATAAGTTTTAAAGAAATTACATCTTATGTTGGAGCTACAGTCAACATAAAGTGAAATTGCATACAAGCAAAATCCTCTACATATCAAATCACCCAATAAGTTCCAGTACATATACAAACTATATCCTAATATGGCTAAATCAACCAATATTTCCACTAGCATTAGAAAAGGTACGAGTGCTTTAAGCTCCCAATGAAATAGTTGTCTTGCTTTCAGGGGTATGTTGTAAGGAAACTGCACTTTTAAACAATCACTCCACCACTGGAAGAGGTTTGAGGCAACTAACACCATTTTGTAGAAACGATAGATTCATGATTCCACCCCACACTTGGTCTAGGGAATTAGATTCATGCTGCCTCATTTATTTTCTTCCGTCTCTTGTCCTTTCCATATTTTCTGCCTTTTTTTTCCCCTTTTTATTTTTTTTCCCTCAGCTTTGTATTGTTAAATCCCTGTCAGTTAAAAGAGAATGTTGTCATGAGTCCAAGTGACTGTCATTATTGTAGCTTGCTCAGCAGATATTGGAAAATGCAGGCATGGAACTTGGAAGAGAAACTGTAGAAATAGATCTGGTATTAAATCATGGGAGTGAAGTAAAGTTGCCAAAGGAAAGGAAGTGGAAAGAAGAGATCCAAAGTTCAAATTGAGGGAAATGTCTATCTGCTAGGATGGAAATCACTAGAATCAGTTGAAGAGATAGTGTTCACTGAACAAGTCATCAGTTAGAGCTATGTAAGAAAAAAGGAAATTTTAGAAGCCTGTAGTGATCAACTAAGTGAAAGTTCGAAAAACAAAAATCCACTCAGCTGGGTTATCCTTGCCAAAGCAATTTCATTAGTGTGGTAGCAGAAATAACCAAACTGTATGTGGTTAAGGGGAGAAGATAAAGAAGTAGGGTAGAAAAATACTGAAACTGGGGCGCCTGGGTGGCGCAGTCGGTTAAGCATCCGACTTCAGCCAGGTCACGATCTCGCGGTCCGTGAGTTCGAGCCCCGCGTCAGGCTCTGGGCTGATGGCTCAGAGCCTGGAGCCTGTTTCTGATTCTGTGTCTCCCTCTCTCTCTGCCCCTCCCCCGTTCATGCTCTGTCTCTCTTGTCCCAAAAATAAATAAACGTTGAAAAAAAAATACTGAAACTGATATTGCCTGAAAAACCCAACAAAGGGCATTGTATTTTAGGGGTATGTAATACTTCTGTTTATGTAACAATTTGAACACATACACAGTTGACTCTTGAACAATATGGGGGGGTTAAGTGTGCCAACCGCCACACAGTTGAAAATCCACGTATACCTTTTAACTCCCAAATCTAGCTACTAATAGCCTACTGTTGGCTGGAGGCCTTACAATAGCATTAGTAGCCCATTTAACACATATTTTACTACATGTATTGTATACTGTATTCTTACAATAAAGTAAGCTAGGGAAAAGAAAAGGTTATTAAGAAAAGCACAAGGAAGAGAAAATACAATGACAGTTCTGTATTGTATTTATTGAAACAAATCTGCATATATGTGGATCCTCACAGTTCAAGCCGATGTTGTTCAAGGGTCAGTTGTTTTTAAATATAGCTCATAATAACTCTATGTTTGCAAGGCTGCTCTTCCGTTGGATGCATTAGTACAGTAAGAGTTGTCTATTGCTGGCTTCTGTTCAGATTACTTGGTGCAGGTGAACTACCTGGTATTAAAGAACTTGAGTGTTACCCCTGACTAGATAGAGTTAGGTGGCCTGCTTTAGGGTTATTTCATTGCAGTTTTAAAAGAGGGTAGACCTAGTCAGGTGTCGAGTGAACATTTAGTTGGATGGGTACCAAATAAGCCATGAGGGAGCAGAGTAATATAAATCAAGTGGGAGAAAACTTTGTGAAAAAAGTGATAAAAAATAGTGAATGCTGCTGAAATGGGAAATAAGGGCAGGAAAAAAAAAGAATCAATTAGATTCTCGTTGGAAATAGGCTCAAATTAGTACACTGCGTATTTACTTAAAAAATTAATGCACATCGTGAATCTCACAGAGAAATGCTTTTGTGGTTAGAAACAAAAAGTAGTTTCCTCTTACACTTCCTCTGGCTCAAATAATAGCTGCCTATTTTAAGCTTGCATATTTAAAAAAACAAGTAAACCAGGGGCACCTGGGTGGCTCAGTCGGTTAAGCATCCCACTCTTGGTTTGGGCTCAGGTCATGATTTCATGGCTTCCTGAGTTCGAGCCCCATGTCGGCTCTGCATTGACAGTGCAGAGCCTGTTTGGGATTCTCTCTCTCTCTCTCTCTCTCTCTCTCTCTCTCTGCCTCTCCCTCATTCGTGCTGTCTCTCTCTCAAAAAAATGAATAAACAAAAAAATTAAAAAAAAAACAAGTAAACTACTATGCTGAAGTCAAATGAGAGTTATTAAAACACATTCATCTAAACAAACCTTTACATTTTCTTACTTTTGGGGCACCTGGGTGGCGCAGTCGGTTAAGCGTCCGACTTCAGCCAGGTCACGATCTCGCGGTCCGTGAGTTCGAGCCCCGCGTCAGGCTCTGGGCTGATGGCTCAGAGCCTGGAGCCTGTTTCCGATTCTGTGTCTCCCTCTCTCTCTGCCCCTCCCCCGTTCATGCTCTGTCTCTCTCTGTCCCAAAAATAAATAAACGTTGAAAAAAAAAATTTAAAAAAAAATAAAAATAAAAAATAAATTTTCTTACTTTAAAAAAATCTAAATGGAAATTAGCAGTACCATATGAATATCAGAAAATTAATATATAAAAAATAAGAAATTTTATATAAATCCTTAGCTCTAAAGGATTGAACTAATTTTTATATAGTAAAAAAACCCATTAAAAGTCAGATGGCCAAGAAATATGTGAAAAGATACTCAACTCTGATGATACTCAGGGTAATAAAATCAAACAGATAAAACACTATTTCACACTGTGATTTGGCAAGGATGTGGGGAAGTAGGTATTCTCTTCCACTATCAATGCAAGTGTAAATTGGTATAAATAACCTGAGGAGCGTGAGGTTTAATATCTGGGAAAATTAAGTTGCATGTACTCTATGATCCAGCAATTCCATTTATGTATCCTAGAAACTCATATTCTTGGATACGGGAGGCATGTGCCAAGTTATTCATTACAGGATTATTTACAATGCCAAAAATACTATCAATATGGCAATAAAAAGAAAACAAACTATGCTACCACAAACCACAGCTAAAAACAACTGATTTAACTGGCTCTGGATATATCTCTATGGATAGATTGCACACATAATTCTTTTTTTTTTTAATTTTTTTAATTTTTTTTTTCAACGTTTATTTATTTTTGGGACAGAGAGAGACAGAGCATGAATGGGGGAGGGGCAGAGAGAGAGGGAGACACAGAATCGGAAACAGGCTCCAGGCTCTGAGCTCAGCCCAGAGCCTGACGCTGTCAACTCACGGATCAAGCAGATCGCGACTCCTGCTGAAGTCGGACGCATGACTAACTGAATGCTACCCAGGCTTTTTTTAATTTTTTTAATGTTCATTTATTTTGAGAGAGAGAGAGACAGAGCATGAGCAGGGGAGGGGCAAAGAGACAGGGAGACAGAGGATCTGAAGCAGGCTCCAAGCTCTGAGTTGTTAGCATAGAGCCCAACATGGGGCTCAAACCCATGAAATGTGAGATCATGACCTAAGCTAAGTCAGAGGCTCAACTGACTGAGCCACCCAGGTACCCCTGCACATGTAATACTGATTGAGAAAGTAATACCGCTTATATAAATTGGAACACTCATAACTCATGATATATATTGTAGAGTGAAGTGCTGTAAAAATTTTAAAACATGGACTCGTGCTAATTATTAGTTCTGAGTAGAAGGACATTGGGGATTTAACTTCATCTGTAATATCTTATTTCTTTTATATCTGAAGTAAATACTAAAATCGCTAAGCTTTATGACTTTGTGGTGGTCTGTATTTGTTATAACATACATTTTGTACTTCTGTTTTCCTTTTATTTTAGTAAACAACAAAATTTAGCTGTATCAAGTTAAGATTTAAGGCAATAAAAAACACAGGGAAAAGGAAAACCTCTAAATAATAGAAGATCCCTCTGTTAATGAAAAATAATGCCCTATGAAAAACAGGCTTTTGTTTCGCTTTTACAGGAAAATAAACCAGAAGCTGTTTGGATTGAAGAGAGATGGAAAGCCCACATTGCCCGGGTCCGCGATGTGGAACTTCTTACTGGGCTGGACTTTTACCAGGAAAAAGTACAGCCTGTTTCTGAAATTTTGCAACTTAAGACATATTTACCCACATTTGAAACCGTTATTTAACTTAATATATAAATGAATTGGGGCAGAATGTAAATGATTTTTCTGTTAAATAATCACAAAATAAAGTGTTCTGTTTTTCCTTAACCCTTCTAAAAAGCCATGTCACAGAATTTTCATTATTCCCTTCTCTTTTTCATCTCTACAAACGTGTGTTATTTTAAAGTTCCTCTTTTTTTTTTCTTTTTGCACAGAGATTGTGCTGTGGTATACCTACCATATTATATTTATTATCTTATTTATAATCTTTGGCCATATTTTCTGCCCAGCATTATCTAAAGAGAAAGGAGACCAGGTTAAGTGTCACTTTGGTGAAGGTTATACAAGAAATGTTGCATTTGACAATTAGACAATATTTATTAAAAGAAGCACATTACCTCATTCAGTAATTTCACTTGTAAAACCTGCCAACAGGGTTGCCTGGGTGGCTCAGTTGGTTAAGGGTCCAACTTCGGTTCAGGTCATGATTTCACGGTTCCTGAGTTCGAGCCCCGCATTGGCTCTGTGCTGACAGCTCAGAGCCTGGAGCCTGCTTCAGATTCTGTGTCTCCCGCTCTCTCTACCCCTCCTCCATTCGCACTCTCTCTCTCTCTCTCTCTCTCTCTCTCTCGAAAATAAATAAACATTAAAAAAATTTTTAATAAAAAAAACCCCATGCCAGTATATGTTTTACTGTAGGAAAGACTAGGAAACAACCTAAAAGACTGGTTGAACAAATTCTGGAATTTGTTTATACAAACAATATGAGTGCAATGCTATTCCAATACTATGAAGAAAGAAGTAGATCTATATATTGAATGTATGTCTATTGTTAAATAAAGAACAAGGTAGAATAGCATTCTATCATTTTTTAGGGGTCAGCAAACTTTTTCTTTAAAGGGCCAGATGATAAAAATTTTTAGGCCATATAGTCTCTTTTGCAACTACTCAACTCTGCCATTACATCAAGGAAGTAGTCATAGATAATATTTTAAAAAAGGGGGAGAGTTGCTGTGTTCCAAGAAAACTTTATTTACAAAAACAGACAAACAACCAAACAAAAACAAAAACAAAAGCCACCATGGAGGGCTAGATTTGGCTTCAAGAAAACTTTATTTGCAAAAAAAAAAAAAAAAAAAAAAAAAAAAAAAAAAAAACACAAAACAAAAGCCAGAACAAAACAAAACAAAACAAAAAAACCCAAACCCTTGGATGGGCTATACTCTGTCAACCCCTGGTTTGCATAATAAAGCTGGGTGGGGAGAGGTAGGAATTAATAGTAAAGAGAAATAGGGAAATACAATTTTTATTTTGTGACCTTCGGGATTATCTAAAATTAAAAAAAATCACTTTGTATATGTTTATCTTTAATTTTTCAAAATATAGTTATTAATCAAAGAGATCCCATACTTATTTGAAGAGCAATGCCATTCGTCAGATCTTTGGATTACTAGACTAGCAATGTTCCAGATTATTTTCTGATATAAAGACCAGTTCATTCAGGGGACAAAGGCTTTGCTAGTGATGAAAAATCCTGTGACATGAGCTTCAAAAAAATAAATAAACTATTTGTATTAGGAGGTCAATTGAAGTATGATCATTAACTACAACTAATTGAAATGATAGTTTAAATGCCATTGGATTTTCTAAAACATATTTTCTCCACTTGTAGGATTTAGTTTAAAAAATTGTGCAGTGAAAAATGTAAGGCACAAATTGAAAACTATTCCCAGCTACATGGCAAAAATTAATATAGTCAGAATTCCTCCAATTCATGTTCCTCTGCCCACCACAGTGTGGAAATTAGATAAGATCACCTGAATTTAGGGGTGCTTGGGTGGTTCAGTTTGGTTAAGGGTCCAA